TCCAAAAGATTCGCCATTGTGAGCTGGACAGTGTAGACGACAGGGGAGGAGAAACAGAAGAGGAACAAAGAGAACGATACATACGAGGTTTCAGCTTGGACCACGGTATTCCAGGTAAAAGGCCGCAAACAAAAGGGCTAGCATTGATTGATGAACCTGAACGGGAAGGAATGGAAGGGTTATTGAGCTGAAGGATATGAGAAGGGAGGAAAGCGCGAACAAGGAAAGGTTGTAGCAAGATGTCGCGAGAGTCAACTCTCTTGAAAAACTTGCGCAATATGAGCGGGTTGCGTGGGAAATCAGCCGGCGCTCGACGGCAGAGAACGTCGAAAGAAGGGTCAACAAGAAAGGCATCTTCAACGCGGAGGTGTTGCCAGGAGGGAGGGAAGGAGGTAGTGCTTGTGGCTGGTAGGCATACTGAGCGGAGGGGAAGTGCTAAACACGTAGCAATGTTGGGGGCAAGGGAGGAGAAGTCGTGCGGGAGCCTATCAATAGCAGAGAATATGTTGCGGAAGCAACCTGCAAGGCCAGTCAGATCGGGGGGGGCGAAGATCGTGGAAGAGAAGTGTCAATTGGGGGTCGGTGCCAGACGTATGATAACGTAAGAGAAAGGACAGCCAAGGAGGAACTAAGCCAGAGGTGGAGTGAGGAGAGAGACAGAGAGGACGTAACCAGCGCAGCTGAAGAGCACCTTGTTGTATAGAAGGATCTAATACTCCAAGGCCGCCAGAACGAAGAGGGAGACAAAGAGTGGACAGCTTAATGGGAGGAAACATTCGGTGCTGCAAGAACTGACCCATGACCGACTTCACTTTATCGAGAAACGACACAGGAACAGAGATCACGCGTAGGACATGCCAGAGACGGGAGAGAATGAGAGTATTGAGAACGGTGGCATGCCCCCGGATCGATAAGGATCGAGTGAGGTGTATGGCGCAGGAAGATTGTATGGTTGTTAACAATGAGGAACAAAAGGCATCGCGTTGGGCAATCGAACTGACAAGAGGGAAGCCAAGGTAGCGGAGGGAGTCAGGACAGGAACGGTCGTGCCAGGATGTTATTTGGTGGGCCTGTAGGAACGTGATCCAGTGAGGAAGTGGTTGTCCCGAAAGCGATATGGCCTCCGTCTTGGCCATGTTGATCTTGGCATTGGAGGCCCGAGAGTAAGTGGCAAGATGTGTGTGGAGGCGTGTGAAACATTCGGGTGTGGAGAGGAAAACAATGACATCGTCCGCATATGCAAGACATTTGACTGGAGGGGGGGCTGGAAGGATTGGCGAGATAGGTGGGAGAAACCCAGAAAATTCAGGGTCATGTTGGAGGCGGCGTAGAAGAGGCTCAAAGGCGAGATTGAAGAGAACGGGGGACAGAGGATCGCCCTGTCGGAGACCGCGGTGCTGAACAAGTTCTCGGGAGATATGACCGTTTACATTGACTCGTATTCGAGTAGAGAAGAATAGGTTGCAAATACAATCGACGAGAGAGGAAGGGAAACGGAAATGGCGCAGGACTTGTCGCAGGTACGAGGGGTGTACACGATCGTAAGCCTTTTCTTGATCCAAGAGCAAGCCAATACTGGTGGATTGAGTGAGCCGGGCCTGTTCCATAATGGTCTTGACGAGCATGCCATTGTCAGCAATGAACCTTCCCCTCACAAACCCGGTTTGATATTGAGACACAATTGAGCTGGCAGCAGGAATCATACGGGCATTGAGTAGTCGAGTAAAGACCTTTGCATCAGTGTTAATCAAGGCAATAGGTCGCCAGTTCTTCAAAGATGTAAGGTCTCCTTTCTTCGGTAGCAAGGAGAGACAAGTAGATTGCCAAGAGGCAGGAAAAACTCCAGCGGTGAGAGCGTCATTGTAAAGCTTTTCCAAGATATGAGCACACGCGGGATGGTCAAAAAGGAGACGAAGGATTTCATAGGGTATCCCGTCGGGACCGGGACTGCTGGCGGAAGGAGACCGCTGCGCACCTTCTCGTATGTCTACGATGGAAAAGGAGGAAGTGAGTTTGTTTACAAGAGCGTCAGAGAGAACAATATGAGTCGGAAGATTATGTAGAAGGTCGTCTACAGCGGTTTGCTCAATGTCATCGGGGGAATACAAATCTTCATAAAATGCAGCCGCGGAATCGGTCATGATAGAAGGCTGTGTCGAAAGGACGTTGGTGAAGGGGTGGCGTAGGCCAGAGATCGTCTTACGGACTTGTCGTGTTTCAATCGTACGTTTCAAGTAACCGGCAGAGGTCTCACCCTGTTCCCGCCAGTGTTTTCCAGCGCGCAATGCCTGTGTTTCTACCTTTTCGTGTTGTATGTCCTGAATCTGTCGTTCCACAAAAGGAAGCTGGAAGTTAATGGAGGGGTTGAGTCGGTACTTTTGTATCAGGTGCGCGCGCTTGCTCTGCAACTGGGCTTCTATCGTAGTGAGGTTGCGGCGAGGGCGACGGCAATAAGAGCGGATAAAATGGATGACATCGGTTTTGAGACTATCCCACTGTTCTTGAACAGATAGAGATGTTGGTAGAGAGTGGACGAGGGAATGAATGTGAGAGTCAAGCTGGAGACAGAAATGCTGGTTGTAGGACAGACGTGGGTTGGCACGCCATAGGCCTTTCCCCAAGACAGTGCCTGAATCAAAGAGAAAAGATGCGGAAACTAGGAAATGGTCTGACCATTGCGGATGAATATAATCCACGGAAGACGAAATGCGGTGGGAAAACATATCGGAAGAGGAGAATATATAGTCCAAGGTGGAGGACGTTGTGCCGCGATGGAAGGTAGGCATAGGGGTAGAATCAGGCATAGTGACGCAGTCAAAGAGGTGGTCAGAGAGGAATTGGAGCCACGTATGAGGTGCAAGTCGGGGCCGAGGTGAACGAGTGTGATAGGAGTGATTAAAATCTCCCAGCAGGATGAAGCGTGAAGGATGAGTGGGCAATAATAAAGAGTTAGCAAGCAGGGCAGATAGGAATTTATACCGTTGTCCAACTGTAGCTTGGGCATATACCACACAGATCTGAAAAGGGGAAAAATTATTGTTGGCATGCTCAACTGTAGCAGATATACATCGGCCACAGACAGAGGTTAAAGGGTTGACAATAGAAATCATAGGAGTTAGGCACACTAAACCACAATGTTGGGACCAAACTGAGGAAGTAGTCCTAAACTGCATATTGAATGTGTTCTGTATATCCATAGAGGAAGCATGAGTTTCTTGCAGGGCGAGTATATCGACATGCTGAGAGCGTAGGTGGCGTATAAATAATGAGCGTAAGGTGGGGTTGGCCAATTTGGCCAGGCCTCGACAGTTTATCGTGGAGATTTTAATCATAAAGTAAGAGCTGGATTTGGAGGATCTTGTCCACCATCATTTTCACCATCCATGGGATCATCTTCCATTTGAGCGAAATACTTGGCGACCTCATCGATGTCATCGTCGCTGTAGTATTCCTCATCGTCGCTTTTCTTCGTCTCTTCGTTACCAAGTTCGCCATCACTGGTCTTAACCAATTGGACGTTGTCATCCATGCCAGTACTAGCCGCTGCTTCTATCAGGAAGTCAGGATGGTTGGCGGGAAGAAAACCCGGAATGGCGCCCGGGGCCGCGCGTGGTTTAGAAAGGGATTCAGTAGCCAATGGAGGTAGGGGTATGTTCTGTGGGGCGTGCTGTGAGCCGTAGATTGTTTCAGAGGGTAGAAGACCATGATACATCTGAGCGGCTGGGGGTGCAGGGGCATGGGTTGGGGAGCGAGCAGTTTTGCGAGGGCGTTTTGATTCGGCTTCCTCGTTTCGTGGGCATTGATGGGCAAGGTGACCAACCTTACCACAGCGGAAGCAGGTGCGGGTTTCTTTGGGTCGCTTGGTGCAAGCTTCTTTCTCGTGACCCATCTCTTTACAGAAAGTACAATGAGTACCCATACGTGCCCAAGTGGCAAGGAAAGTTGTAGTTTCATTATACTTGATCTCATGTTCCAAGTGACGCAGATGAAGATCAGGATTAGGTGGGCGTAGCATATGGATGGTGCCTGTGCCGTCGGGGTAGTTATATTTCAAATTCAAGGATATTTCCTGAACCTGTCCGTATATAGCAAGGCAGCGGCGAAGATTCTCGGCAAGTTCATCAAAATCCGCATATCCGTGAAGAGGAAGTCGAGACACACGTAAGCGCAAGAGCTTAAACGTCGAAGGAATGGCAGGAGAAGCGAAGACAGTACGTCCATTAAAAGGAAAGCCAACTTGGCATGCGCGCGAGCATGCTTCTTGGTCTACTAGATGGAATTCGAAGGAGGTGCGGGAAGTACGAGAGGCATATGTGAGGCCGCGGCCAACACCCAATGGGAAAGCGGTGTTAAGAGCCTCAAAGAACAAAGGACGGAGAGGGTTTCCCTCAGCAGGGACCTCGTAGAAAACAGAAAATGGAGAGGAGCCTTCTTTCCATATGCGTGGAGCGCCATTACCAGCGATGGAGCCGATGATGCGAGATGTACAAGAATTGTCTACAGACTTAACAGCCGCAGCTACGTAAGATGGAGACAATGGTGGTGAGCCAGTTGGTGTAGATGGAGTGTTGAGTGATGGCGTGGGTGAGCCAGGAGGTGGTGAGGGGTCCCTTGGTAGGGGTGGCGGAGTCTTAGCGGGAAGAGCCATGAGTTATACTAAAGGAGAAAGCCGAATATTCAAGGCGTTCAAAAAGACAGTCCTTAAATTTGTGGCACATAATATATATATCACTAAGATTTCCCTCAGTATACGTTTATCTTTTTATCTATTTACAAACATGAGAGACAACAATCAGCTCATCGGCTTCAACTAAATGGAATCCATTATGAAATTTCGTAAAAATAGTCTTAAGGCTACATGTGATGCCTTCAAATAAGAATAAGATGCAGATGATGTAGATGATTAAGTACTTGAAGACTTCAACAAAAACGCCTCACCCAAGCGCATATAGACACATACCGGCTATTAAAAAAAGCGTGAGCCCCTATAAGCAAACGATATGTGGACGGACACAAACACCTATTTCAGTTATATAGTTTCTGCAGTAAATATTTTTGATACCCAAATCCTCGAATTAAATTTCAAGCAACTAATATGCTGTTAACTATTACTATTAGGATAATATAGATGAGTTCGAAGAGAAGGTCGAGAGAAAGGCTCTTGTAAAAGGCCACAGAATTATATCCCAATTCATCAAGAAAATATGTAAAATTATGTATGCATAATATCATCAGGATCATTTCAATAATAAGCTAGTTTTTTTATTTGGATTAGGGTCAATGTGTTTGAAAAAAGGCTTTTGATCTCAAGATCAGAGGTGGTATACAATACCAATATGAATTTTCCTTGCATAGAAGTCATGCTGGACATGATGAGAAAGAATAAAAAAAAAACCCTCATATTTTATTCCTGGTGAAGATGAGCTGGCTACAATGACACTGTAACTTAAAAATTTGGGGTTTAAAGATAAAAGGCGTATCTATAATGCCGGTAGAGCTATTAGTCTCGGGGAGCTTGAAGATCTAGAAATTCTTGTTGTGGAAACAGCCGTTGTTTTTGGTCTAGGCGATCATACCAAAGCTGTTTTCAACAACTCAAAGGGCACGTTTCCGTTGCTAGCATGCTGAAGACTGCAGCCCACCAGCACAGATATGAACCTGTTGACAGGTTTAGAAAACTCAAATTCTATCTCGTGCAGCCAAGTGGTAGGCAATATTACAAGCAACATTTTATTTATTAGTACTAATGAAATTGTTTTGCGACAACTAGGAAGGTGTATCCTGCTATGGTACAGGCAGTGATACAAGAACAGTCTGTACAACTTTGTCCGAGAGAAAAATATCTTAGTAGGGAACGACTTTGAAAAAGAGAGAAATACATTGAATTCTTGGTCAACTTATTCTTGATCTTAAAGGTATATTTCTAATCCTAAACGATTGATAAGATTAAAAATAATAATAAGCTTAATTTAATTATTTAGGCCCGTCTGGAAGAGACAATAGACTTCGTTGCTGCCTTAAAGACCCAACATGAAGAGGAGAAGCTGTATGACAGCGAGAACGATGATTTTGTAACTTTATCGGATATTATATGTCCTACAATTTTCAAATTTAGTCTTAATACTCACAAATAAAGGTTTTCAAGTGAGTATTTTCAAAGCTCACCTGGGTAATTACAGCTGGTGTGGCCAGATTAAAAGTTCAAAATATCAAGCCGTATCAATAGAAGGTGTAAAAAAAAATTGAACCAAAATAAAGTTCAAAAAGAATTTCAAACGACTATATAGTTATTATTCTTACATTATTACTTTGATGGAAAAGAAGAATATAACTTTGATAGAATACATGTGTCGTAGGATTTAAGGGCTAAAACCCCCCGAAATAATAGACTTTTACATATTGAAAGAGATGATACTATGCGCACTTGATTTTTTTTAAAAAAAAAGAGTGAAAACAACCATATATTTATCTGATTGTCTTTGTGTATTTTGATCTTACTTTGAACTTTTTAGTATATCCACATCATATGTATTTTAACTAAATTTGACCTTTTTTCTTTTGAAAAAAAAAAAAAGGTGCGGTCAGTTATAAGTTAATCTGATCGACTAAGTTAATTCTAAACTTTTTTAACTTTTTAGTCTGTCCACACACTATGTGTCTTCCGCTCCAAATCAAGTAGTTAAATTGAGCTCTTAAAACTAATTTTCACTGCCATATTACCGCGCTTACCAGTAAGTGAGATGCAAATATACAAGCTTGTTACTATGTGCTACATATAAAGTTATACAGACATTCATAAATAAAAGAAACATACTATTCTGAAAAATGATCACAGGTGTGTCTAATATATATACTCTACACTCCATCTTGATAAGAGTCCGCGTATCATTATTTGCTTAATTATTGTTGTATAATACTTATATATATGAATATCTTGATTTTTTAAATACAACACTATGGAAAATTAGCGGTGGCTCTGTTGGTGATTTTGGAAAACTCCTATAGTACTTTCTAAAATTACCACCAGAACCACCTCTTATTTTGTCATAGTGTAAGGTGAACATTTGCTGAAGCTAATTAATTCCTGTTAACCTCAATATATTGGTGTATTTGCTATTATATATTACCTATAACCTAGTATTAAGCGTGTAAAATATTTTATATTGCTAGAATCTCCGTTAAAAATATATTGTTTTTGGTTATATGTAATTCTATGGTATATACCTCATGTGGGACTTGATTACAACAGGCTTGTACTTTGGTTTACCAAAAGTATAATTAGATTTATCGAAATACAATATATTATCCACTTCAAAACATGTTTTTTTAAAACAAATTATCAAACTTATATAATAATCTATGCGTGAATATCATCAATGGTATACTGTGTATCTAAAGCAAAAAAAAGATAATCTTTTAAAAATACACTTGCGTTATTTCTGCAAAGATAAAAAATTAATAGTTAATTTGTAAAGTTGTAGTATTCTGATTACCAGGCAATATACTTTGTATATGGAATATGTTTGGTACTCTACAGTAGCTGTATTGCGTGAAGTTATTACAGTCTTTTGATTATATTGAAGTATATGTTCTTTTCACTCATACTACTAATATCTTTTGGATTTTGACGCTGAATTGTTATCTTTATTTGAATACCGTCTCCACTATATATTTGATAACTTGATAAATTTAAAGATAAAATCTGGCTGAACAAGACGCGTAAATATATAGTATCTTGACTCTAAGCAACTAAAATAATGATACTGTATACCATTATCGGCCCCGTAAATATTTTCTTTGGCTGCTTAAAGCTGCAGAATGGTGTATTATATACTTATATATGTAAATATTATACCTACCAACCAACTTTAAAAATATTCTTGACAATATTCATCTGGAATAGTGTTTGTCTAACATTTTTGTGAGAAAAGAAAAGAAGATATAAGCTAGAGTATAAAAAGCTCGCTCTTAAAAGGCAAATATATATTTTTATATTAATATTTTTTCCGAGAACCGCGTATATTGGCCTCAGAGTTGAATTACTTGCAGCTGTTTTGGGTCTATAAGTCTAAAGTATTTGGGGGTTTATGTTTATAAGCCAATTATTACAAAAAATGAATATTCAGTGGGAGTATTACTCATGTATACTACACAGTTTCAGATTAACAGAGTATCTAAATGCCTGTACCATATCATGTTATTGAACTCTATTCTTATTATATTTTATAAACGGGGCAATTTTAGATATTCTCGAATGTGCAGCTGCTTTATTATATTTATTAATAGCGATTGATTATATAATAGAAATATTCGCTCAGACAAGCTATGTTTTCTTTGTATTTCTTTTGGCTCTAGGTATTGGATTTAGAATTTTTTCTGCCAATTGTTGAGATGTTGTTAAAAGAGGTAAATATTTTATATAAATATATGTAACTAGAGTAGGCATTCGGATTTGAGAGAGTAGTACCAGTACACGAGATAATTGACACTCTATACTTGTTTCTAAAAGTATTATATGCATCGAAAGATCTTTTATAAAATAAAAATAAAAATAAAAAATTCGTTACATATCTTTCTGTATAACAATTGAGCGCCCGTATAACCATCGCTACTTGTTTGGATTATAAGCTTATAGTACCAATATCACTGTAACGCAACGCAGCGCAAAGCAATGAAATACAAACAGCGGAGGTAAGAGGGACATTCGATTTTTCTCGGTTATGCGGGTTCATTATATCTCCGTGATGTCATAGTCCTTATAAGGGGACCTTACTCTCTGTTATATACAGTTGGCAGGCCTTATTTATCAGAGTGATGTTTGGTTTATTTCCAACATAAAAACCAGTGTCGCAAAATGTCAAAAGAGAAAGGTATAGTATATTTTTTTGGATATTTCTCTTTTTATTACTATTATAACTGTGATTATAATTATAACTGTAATTATTAGTTGTTAGGTTTGAGTTTCACGATGAGGAAATTATTTTAAAAAAGGGAAAAAATATTTCTATTCACAGTGTTCACATTGTTTTGGTCTATTTACGATTTGACACACCAAAACTATAAACTTAACCAGCACACATCAATATTTGAGTTCAATTGAATATTAGAATTAATTGAACTTTTTTTTTATATAATTATCATTATTTATAATAATTGTACCTCTTAAATATATATATATATATTTATGTATGTATTATAATAGCAGCTCAGTATAGGCCAACAGCGTAACAAACGATCGAGAAAAAGAAGTTTTGTACGATCGTTAAAGATGTTTTCTGAATATGTTTTGGCAGGCCTATAGGAAATAGACTCTGCGATATTTAATTCTCCGCACGGTAAATATCCAATCACCGAATTTGTGAAATGGTCAAAAATCTTAATTATCGTCTATTTTTCCTTTCCGATCCTCGATCCTCTTTGTCGTGAATCATGCGGGGTTTATATTTTGTATTTTATACATTTTATATATTTTTGTATTTTTACACAAGTTATTTATTTGAAATAAGAAAAAAAAAAATTGTAAAATAGAGTAGGTCCCCATAGCATTAATCTATTACTTGAAAATGCATACAAAAACAGAAATATCCAATTCTTTAAAAATCGGCTAACGGAAAGGAACAAGAAATGGCATTTTGACATAACGGTGAAGATATGTTTAACAAACTGATGTGAACAGTACAACTTGTAACAGTTCCATTTGACCTGCCTTTTTTTTTTCCAACCCTCCCCCTCACTCCCCCCCCCCTTTTTTTTTCTTTCTCTTTCTTTTGTACCTTTTATTAAAATATCTATATATATATATATATATATATATATATATATATATATGAAAACCAAATGGTACTCATACAATCGTTATAGATCCACATGGATAATTATAGAAAAAGATATCAAGAAAAATAAATTTGAAATGTAATACAGTATTAATATATAATTGGGAATGATAGCATTCGAGTGTCAATCATCTGTGAACTCATTGTACACTGTGTATCCATTAATATACATTTAGACTAAACTGTGCTAATGAATAAGCTTGGATAAACGGTGCCATTAGTACAATAGTATCATAAGTATTTGACCGCATGTTGCACGATTGTCATGGCTTTAGAAGCTTTAGTAGCTCATAGAACAATTAATTTTATTTTATTTTTATACATATTCTCCTCTTTTATTACTCACCAGTACCAATAGCAAGCAGCTTGTTTATCTAATAAGAAGCATATTATCTTCAATTAAGAACAAATAAATTCAATATTTCCCTTTAAAAATAGACATGTATTGTATGTATAGACAAAGAGCGCAAGGAGATCATTTTATTATTGAATAGAAGCCGAGCGAACAAGTTTTATGTTGCTGTTTTTTTTTGTTTTTCAAATATAATATATAGAAAATCAAAAGGATATATACAGGAGAGGTACTATAAGTAAGAAGAAGAAGAAAGGAGGGAATGCATGGAAGTTTTTTTGTCGATTATATATATATATATATATATATAATGGCGTGTTGAACGTATTGGTATAGACCTTTTTTTAGCTGATGATCATAATGAGGATGTGGGTATCGGTTGGGGTAAAGAAAATGAGAGGAGGAACTTGGTTTTTGTTGTTGTTGTTGCTGCTGTTGTTGTTGTAGAGGGGATGAATTTGGGAAAATGGTTCTAGATACATGAAAGGGAGCGAATATGATTTGAATGGGGCACATCTACTGTTGCTGGAGAATGGCCTGAGAGATAGCGTGTACTGCAGAGCTGCGACAACGAGTCCATTGAGATTCGAGCTGATTGATCCATAAGATTGCGGTCTCGAGTCTGTCAGAAAGTCGATCTGTAGAAAGGAATGCATATCGCTCTGTGTTGCTACCAGGTAATACTGAAGCTACCCACCAGCAAAGCCGAGAAGCTTCTTTTGGTGAAGGGAGAGGTCCATAGATTTGCTGCATGTTCTCGAACCAGACAGGTCCCAAAAGTCCCTCTGTAGAGATATTGAGGGATGGAGTGGGTGAAGACTGGACCATGTCGAGAATACGTTGGTGAAGTGTGCTGGCGGTGTCATAAGTGGGAGGCATAAATCCAAAATCAATGAGAGCTTGAGCATAGTCATCATTGGCATTGTTGGTAATACGCTTTGAGCAGTGGAGATGATCGTCAACGCGAGGTACAATTTCATCGTCTACGAGAACTTCGATGCTGGCGACCATGCAATCTTCTTCAATTTGGTGGTATTTTTCAATCTTAAAACGATCGAGGCCAATAGCATCGATAATAATGGCGTCGTGGCGATGTTCAACAGAGATGATCTTTACAATTGTACCGAATTGTGCCATGCTTGGGAGACCTTGGTGAACAACAGCCATACAGAGACCATTGTAGCGACTGGATGAAACAATTGCATGGCGCATCTGGCGGAGAAGAGGTGCTGTGAAGATTGGGAAACGGCAAGGTTGGTTAGGAAGAACAAGAGAGCCGTTTGTGAAAAGTGGGATGTCGGTCTCATGCCATTGAGTGACTGAGAGAAAAGGAGAATCGTTTGCAAAAAGGGAGCGGATTGCTCCAGCTGATTGTAATCCACGCTTTACTGACTCTAATAGGTAGTTTGGTGCCTGGGCCTCAAGACTGGCAAATTTGGGGAGAGGGCGTTTGCAGTTCAAGCACTTGTCTGTAGTGACTTTCATCTGGAGAACGCATAGTCTACAAAAAGTGTGGCCGCAGTGGGTTGTGATTGGGTTGACCATTGTTTGTGAGCAACAATGGCATTGGAGCATAGCTGTTGATGATTGGATGACGTGGTCTCCTTGCTGAATATTTTGGATTGCAAGAGAATTCTTGCCATCGTCCATGGAAGTGGGGGTTGGGGGTCGAGAGTAGCAGTCAATAGTGTTGCGAGTAAGTTGAGATAATCCGTGCACACAGGCATCGGTGAAAAGTTGAGGCCCAAACAAATGAGCCTTTGAGGTGCACTGCGATACTGGGCACACAAAAGTTGGTTTGCGTAATAGAGTGGATGGTGGAAGACAAGTTCGACAAACTGTATATCCGCATGAAAGGCTTATTGGGTCAGTGAGGTATTCTTTGCAAACAGCACAAGTAAGTAGGGAAGTGAGTTGGAAGGTAGTGTTCATTGTGTAAGGATGGGAGGAATATTGGAGGAATATTTGAAAAGATAGAAGGCCTTGGTATTTATACAATATTGGATTCTTTGAAAGGGACCATCGAGCAACTGGCCTTTGGTAAAGATCATGGTTTTCCACAGCAATAACCGATCTGTAAAGCTTGGAAAGCCTAATCGAGCAGCCTGATCAGGAAAGGGTTGCGGGTCTCCGATGGAGCCCGATTCGGAGACAACTCCCTTGTCCGTCTTTAATCAGAATGCAATATGCCGCTTTTCTTACAACTACAAACAAAATGCTCCAATCTATGCCCCGCTTAGTGTAGCCTTGTCTGCAAGCTATTGATCGAACGCCTTATCCACACACTACGATCATCGCAAAAAAAAAGTATTTTCATACCATTCGTGCCACATTGAGAGCATACAGGCTTCCTACCCTGCCAATATCCTGGGCCCAAACTTCCGGGCATTTTTTTTTCTGCTTTATTTTCATACAGAACACTATGAAATAGAGCCAAAGAATGGCTTCTCCTCATCCCCTATATACCTTCTTATTCTTCTTCTAGGGGCTATTTACAAATCGGGAACAACCAATAATCTGACCAAATCGTTTAAATGGACAGGTTTGAAATCGCTGTGATGATACTGCACAATTGATGATTTAGACAATGGTCACACAACCAAGGTTTGGCGTTCTTTATGCTAGCGGAATGCTACGAACCCTTGTATGCTTCCAGTATCACCTACTGCTTGCGTTCACAGTATGTTGCTTCGTAGCCGGAATACTTGCAGTGTGTTATTTCTTCCATTGTACATAAAGTAGACTATCATTGTTCTTTGATAAACTATAATCTTGGTTACCATCTCTACCGAAAATATGGTGACACGAAACTACAAACCATGTCTAAACTTATTTTAGACTTTTCTATTTTTTTATTGTAACCATGACAAAACAAATTATTTTTAAAGCAAAAAAAAACAAACAAACAAACAAACAAACTATTGACTATTCATATTTTTAGGGTCATTTTTTTTTTCTATTCGTCATCAAAACTACATCCAAAGCTCAACACGTTAAATACGTTCTTGTTAGGCTCTCTAGCCTGTCCTGGGGATGATTTTGCCGTTGTCCGCTTGGCAGACCGGTCATTTTTAGGCTCGCCCGAGCTTTTGGCCCGTTTTTTGAGATTAGTCTGGCGAGTCCAATATTTAGCTGGAACTGGTCCTTGAGAGAGTGAAGGCAGACCATAATCAAATACTGGGGAGATCGCATGCTCTAGTTTATCAGTGACAATAGCCCACAGGTGACAGAACATTGTCTTGAACTCAGTTGATGAACCCGCTAGAATGCGGCTGAGGTGAGCACCGACGCGAGCATGTTGAAGTGAAGTGTGAATCTCTAACCCATCGTAAGAGGATGCTAATACACCAGTAACCTGGAGATATTGTCCAGGCCCATATACAAGCTGTCCCAAGAGATAAGAGCTATACAGAACAGCCTGGTATTGGGCTGCGAGATGAATGGCACGCTTATTCAGACTCGGCTTAGATCGATCTGGAGAAGGCATATCTGAAGGCGCGAACCCAATATGTGGGCCTAAAGACTTCATTCCTGCTACCAGGAGACCGATTACCTCATGGTTGGCAAGTTGTCTATTGATGTTTTCATGTGAAGAAGTGATGAGATAGCGCAGACAGAGAATAAGTGAATGTAAAGTTGTGTTTGCTTTTGCAAGAATGGCAGGCGTAGTGTTGTGCAAACTTAAAAATAGCTCGGATCGCAATTTGTAATTTTTGAGTAGATCGTCTGCCTTGACTGGCTTATGAATAATATTTCCTATCGCTTCCAAACTCAACCCAGGGACTTCAACAGTAGCCAGATGCTGCTTCTCGCGGAGGTATTCAGTAACAGTCGGTGTAGCGTTTGGATGGACCAATGTGTACAGGTATTGTCGTAAGGACTGGCTCGCGACACAGCTAGATTCCTTTGAAAGGTCTTCAAGGAATATGAAGGACCAAAATGTTTGTGTTTCCACGATGTCCAGGATTTGTCTACTCAACTGACCTGCTTGAAGAAGACTGCTTAGCTCGATGGCCTGTTTTGCTTCTACATCAGTAGTAATCAGAGGTGATGTAGAATCGTAGCGTTCGATAGAGCAAATGATTGCTTGTTCGAGTCCGTCAGCCTTTTCCTGGCGCTGGTTCATGCTGCTGGCAAGAATAATCGGCTTGAGTTCTTTAACAACAGCTCCGATGACTTCCTTATCTATCCCATTTTTGGGTACGATTGTCCGTAGAAATTCTGCGACGTACTTAGGCCATTGAGCACTGCTCTGGCTTTTGAGTCCAAACCCATGGGCAGAACACCACTCCATAATAGGGTACCGTACCATTTGAATATCAAAGTAATCGTTGCCTAGCAATGTACCAAACAATGGTAGCATAGATGTATCGATCCGCAGAAAACTTGCCAATACTTGTGGTTGGTATAGTGTGCCAGATACAATAGGATCTTTGCCAATCGAGAAAAGGTCGAGGGGCAGATATCCCTTACCAAGATGTGGGTATACGTGCATATCTGAATCCTTTGATACCACATAACCGTCTCTTTCTTCAGCCAATTCTGCTACCATTCCATCCGCTTCTCCTCGACACATTATTACTTCAACATCAAGTTCTCTCAGGGTTTGTACAACCACCTCAAGAGTAAGTGGTGGGATAAGATAGAGATCTCCCCAGTATTGGATGGCATCTTCAGGATTTTCTTCGCCTGTCTTGTTGCTGTCATTGATTTGCTTAAGGCTGTTAAAGGTAGAAACGACCTTTTCGATGTAATTTCGATAGCGCTTAATTCGTGTGGCTTCCTTGTCCTGCGGGAGGGCACCATCGAATAAAAAAACGGGGGTGATTCTGGCCTGACGAAGAGCGATGACGTGCGATCTCACCAGATCGGCTATTATTATATACTGACCTGCCACCCTATTGAGCCTTCAAGTGTTTGATCTAGATTCTCCATGTTACCTCCATACGTCCAATCAGTCTTGCATTGAAGTGCATAATGATACACATAGGCGTTGCCATCAACTATAAAACATGAATCCTCTGAATCGTTTTCATTCCAAGATTTATGTTTTCCAAGGCTTGAATGTTCTTGAATGAACGAGGAAAGTCCGTGAATACCCATAGATTCCGATAAAGGTATCTTGACAAGAAGTACACAACAGATGAGGAAAGTGACAGTCACCAAATACCGGAGAGTGAAAAAGGTATTTGGTCTTCTTTCTCTATCATGCATCATAGTCTTCTTCTCCTACCTCATTCCTAACCGTATATGGGTGCATTATTGAGTGTTATTGCTCTTCCTGCTGTCGGGTCTATTGGAAGCTGTATTGTTAGCTGTTGCTCTGCTGCGGCCTGCTCATTAGCTTGTCAAAAGTATGAAGACTACGACTTGTTTTTTGGTGTCTTTCTGTTACTGAGATCAAAACTATCTCTTTCTGTTTAGCTGTCTCTCTAGCCACTCTATTCTCACTCGCAGCTTATATGTCGTGAGTTTTTTTATGGTATTGTATTTATTGATTCTTGTATACTAATCTTTTCAGCAATGAAAATATGTGTCTTAGGTCATATTCATATTCAATACCATAGTAAGTACTATTTTCATACAAAAAAAAGAGGAAATTTTATTGAAGCAATATACACACGAAACAGTTAAATTAAGTTTAGAACTATAGATTGCATGGTTAATGATGTCTGACTGGGCTGTCAACTTGCTCTCGAGCCGTTTGCTTGGATATCTTCATATGGAATGTCAAGACGCGGCATGTTATGGTGTTGTTGCTGTGAGTGTGTGAAACACATTATAAATAAGACTTGGTTTAATTTTTAATGATAGGCTCACAAAGTGTGCTTTGCTATTGTTATTTTTCATATGCTGTTGGGATTATTGGTACTTGGAGTACGGGACAGCCGAGAGAAAAGGGCGGTGATTCAAAATGGGTAAGATTAATAAAGCAAAGAAACGCTTAGCCAAGAGACAAAGAGCTAATGAATCATTGTAGTGGATGGGGGTTTAAAGTGATATTTTGGCTTGGACTTGTGACAGGATCTATTTTTATTCCCAATGAATTTATATTTGTGTGGGGAAATTACATTTCTTTGATTGGTGCCTTCCTATTCATCATCTTTGGCCTTCTACTTTTGCTGGATATTGCTCAAGCATGGACAGAAATATGTCTAGATAAACTGATGGCATCTGAAAATAACCGATGGAAATACATGTTAATTGGTAAGAAGAAGAAGAATAGAAAACTGAAACGAGCACACGAACATTTACGAAACGACAAATAATACCTACTTTTATTATAATAATTTAAAGGTACAACTTTGAGTCAATTCAGTGGAATGACAACCCTGACAGGACTCTTGTACGGCTTTTATGGAACCAATGGGTGCACTCTTGATTTGTTTCTCATATCCTTCAACTTGGCCCTTACTCTGTTTGTCACCCTGCTTTGCTTTTTTCCTGCGATTCAAGAAGCTAGCCCCCAATCTGGGCTATCTCAAGCATCGATTGTAACATTTTACTGTACATATCAAGTATTTTCTGCAGTAGCTAATCGGGGTAACGATGAAAGCTGCAGTCCTCAATCAATAGGATTGGAGATAGTAGCAGTTGTACTTGGCACTGTAATTTCTTTTGCTATATTGGTCTATTTAGCCACTCGCTCAGGGAGTCAAGGTAATTTCAAAGTCAATTAATGGATTTGCAAATAGTGTACGCGATTGATTGTTGTTTTACAATAAATATTCTAGAAATACCCTACGACGGAGAACGCGGAACGAGTCGCGAATATCTAGTCCAGTCGGTTGACCATGGGTAAACTAGTAAAAGATATACTTAAAAGTTCAAATGAAGCTAAAAATAAAACTAAACTCGATATGTGTTTGTACAAATGTGACCTTTAACTTTCATATCAGGACAATACCACGATCTAATCTAGATCGATACGATGAACAAGAAGAGCTTTCAGGAACAGTTTATAGTTATTCGTTCTTTCATTTCATTATGGCTATTGCGGCGATGTATGCAGCTCTACTTATTACTCGATGGTGAGTGAATATTTGAACAATCAAGATTTATTAGTAGTATTCCTAAAACAGGTCACAGGAATAAAATTGTAGTCGAAACACAGCCCACGGAGCTTGTGAAGATTGAGCACACATATGCTGCAGTGTGGATAAAGATTGTTTCCAGTTGGATATCCTATGCTCTATATGTGTGGACACTTGTGGCACCCATTATGATGCCAGATCGGTTCCTAGTAAGTTCGTCATTATAGACAATAGCCATTATACAATGAGCTGATTTGTTTGTTTGTACTCAAGGACTAGATCTCGCTTGTCTCATGCTGATATGTGCCGCAATTTTTATTTTTCTTTTAATCTCTTTAAAAAAAAATACCTGTATTTATTTTCCATTTCTTATTAGATATAAAACAGGCTTTAAATTTTAAGACTTTTTAGATGATTGCTTCTAAAATAATCATGAACATAGTAAAGTACCCGAGCCAAGCCTTTGTATGGTATTTTAAAAACATTTAGTAGGCCATTTTTTAAGCATTTTATTAATGGTGGCATAAGAAACAGTTTTTGCCTTTTTTTCTATTGTATTATATATAGTCACCCTATTCGAAAAAGAAAAAGAAATGAAACCCTAAATCAAATGATGAGACTAACAAGCAGGTGGGTTGCTCATCTGAAATTTTGACTGTATAAATTCGACTCTGTGTTAGCTATCAAGTGATTGTCTTTTAAGCTATAGCTAAAGAATATATAGATACATAAGATATCTTCCGCCTTTCAAATTGTAAAGATTAATAAGGCAATTAAATATATGTGTATCTAATGTAGACTTCCCCACCTTTATGTCAATACCTTTCATCGTATTTATCTACATTCATTTTTTCGTTTTCTTTTATTTTCTTCCATTATCAGTCGATATTTTGCTTTTTAAAGAAAGTGCCTATGTGTGGTAATATTTTTCTTTTCTATTTAATACCTGACTCTGTATTTCAACCGAAGTTCTACCAATTACTCTAACTAATTAGCTTTATTGTACCATATCTATTTGACCTACTAAAGGATGGTGCTTTATTACTAGCCTTGCAAAGTACTAAATAAGCTAAAGTTTTTGAAGCTACCTTTAAATACATCGCACACAATACAATATCTAACCCCATAAAATAGGATCTAAATATTATTATTAAGCATCAAGCTATTGTTAATAGTGAAGACAGAATATTTTTATTTTGTAATTATATACGTCTTTACATTGAGTTACTGTTATCGTTCAGTCCTCGCAAGATTTGCTGATATAGAAGTTTTTTTTTGGAGGGGGAGGGGTATGCACTTTTCCTAGCATCTTGGTATGTATTAGAATACTTGAGCATCGTATATATCCAATACTTTTTTGGTTTTATTGACACTGTACTGTTATACCCAATATTGTACCTTTTTTTTTTTAATAATTATGTGAAGAGTCGTGATTAAGTAAGCATCTCTTTCCATGGGGAAACGGTTGTTCAAGTTTGCTAATATCAGAAACTGCTAGGTGCCATCTTCAATAGTCAGTATGTAATTACTATTTTTTCTGATAGAAAAAAAAAAGCATCATGTAACTTGGAATCTAATATAATGATTTATTTGATAGTTGCTTAAGGTAAAACCTTGATATGATACAAACCTTTCTTTATTATTATTTATCAGTCTGAGCCGTCAGCGTACTCAGTATTCTTCCTTTTAAGCTTTGGCCGTTTTAGTTACAGTTGGTCGTTCACCCAAATTGCCAGTGCGTTTTCCATTATATTAATTGGGACAATATACTTTTAAACAGAATTTTTTTTTTGTTCTTTCTTTTTATAAATACATTAATGATCTTATTTTTACTATCCCAGGCACTCTCGATGAATTCGGTTGAAATACTAAAGTCCTCTCAAAATCAGTTTGATTTGTTACTTTATTTCTATTTTACAATCGGCAGTAGGCTCTTTGGGTAAATTATAATGTTCGTCCTTCCTTACTCACTTACTTACTTGTAGTTATACTTGTAAGACACATACCTTTATTTAGTCTGATAAGACCCTAGCCTATCTACATTTCTCAACTCCTTAACTTGACACAAACCGCCTGTTCTATCATACTGGCATGTTATTATGCTTCTCCTTTTCCGCTCCTAGGATATTGATATGATTTCTCGTGTTTTTTTTAAAAAAATATACAGTTTCTATAAACTTATATATACTTCATACCCTTTTAAAGTACGTCTTTTATTAAAAAGTTAATCAAGTACTAAAGCTCTATCTATTACTATAACTAGGTCTCGTCCAAGATGTGATGAATGTATTTGCATCACAAATGAGAAGATTTTAATACAGGTTTAAGATCTTGCGCTTATATAATTACTTCTAATTCGTGAAATTACTCTTCTCCTCACAGAGATTCGTTTATATCTTGGGGTATACAAGAAAATTCCCTTGATATTTTTAATGCGTTTTAGTCATTGTCGGCAGAAGGGATTTTTGAAATATAAGCCTTAACACCTAGTGGAAGGTCAGAGCATGCTATGGACACATATCATATTGATAAGATCTGATTTGAACTGGGACACACGCCCTTGAAAGCCAATATCATTATTATCTGTAGTGCTTTTTCTATTCCAAAATGTAAGTGAATACTACCGACACTTAATTTTCTGATTGTGGCATCCAGTCAACCTTTATAGCTCTCAGTCAATTCAAAATAAATTACTATCGATATAGGTATATGGCTTTTAACCTTCTCAATACCCCTTGGGGCATTATTCCTGATAACAAATAAATGGATTAAATATTTATTTTGCTTAGTTTTATATTTGCATATTACATGTTTCTACAGTATATTATCTCAATGGCACCTGGTGCTTGACGCTATTGGACTGTCAATAAATCAATACTCTTGCCAGAAAAATCGGATGTTTCCAAATTTACATCTCGCAGTAAGTTATATTTTAAGTTTTTTTTAAAAGAAAAAAAAAGACCAGGATATATGATGATATTAAGCATACATATTTCTTTTCCAATTAACAAAGTAGATGGTCATTCTGTGCATGTCATATTTAAAAAGATTATAGAATCAAGAAAATAATAAATCACAATGATAGTTATTAAGCCCTTGTATTTTCAATAAAAGCTTATGACAGTAGAAACATACACACAAACGTGTATAGTATATAAGGTATTACTGTTCCTTGTGATAGTAGATCAGATTTCGTTAATATGAACAGAGTTGTAAATATGCATTACTTTTTGTAACTCATAGGTTTGAATAAAGTAGCCGGAAATAGTATAAAACGTCTTTCAACTTTGTATCGATGACTATTAAGCATTTTCTAGATGGAAAATAGCAAGTCATATGTTAAACTTCTCTTATTATTCTGAGAACATTACATATACATATATACATCAATCTCCTTAAACTATTTTGTAAGCCATATTTATTTACTTTTATGTCAAGGGATATTATGTATGTATACACATGCAGGCAAATAACCAACTGTCTCAAGTGTATTCCTTCAGGCTGGCTCAAATTCTCTGTTTTTTTTATTATTTATTAAACAGTAAAAGCAATATGCCTAATTCTCTAATATCCAACAGTTTTGTTTTCGGCTTGAGCTTGAATAAGATGGAGCTAGCAACAAAAAATATATCAAGTCTTGTCCTGATAAATTGAGCTACATGTAATAGAAAATTTAGGTATCTGTATTATACGGTTCTATGGATCCTATGTGAATTACCATATAAAAATGGAATAAATTTGAAAATCTTTATGATTTTGACAGTGTTTGTCTATGTAAGCTCTGGCTTTTTCTATTGGTTTATTTTCTTTGAACTCTAGATACCCCGGCCTTTGAATGGCTTTTTTTTTGCACACACGCACGTATATATAGAGAGCAATATTTGAGTTTTATACGCTCATACTCTTGTAAGTAATATAATATATCATATACTAGAGTCTGATATTTCTGTAAATGTTAACGAGTACCTTTGGCTTGTATTTCAAACTGGCACATCAAATACTGTATGAATATTATATAAAAGAGAAAAGGGGCGGAATATTTTTGATCTTTCCATGTGAAATCGGATAAAATAAAAATATATAAAAAAAAATAGGAACCCCGTCAGTGCTTTAAGAACCTGGGGCAAAAGCGCGTCCCCTAGACAAAGCACCTTTCTCCTTCTTACTTCATTATGCTCAGAACTCTCGTTGGCTCCGCTATCCTCAAGCCCCTCTCTACCCAGACTGCTGCTCGTACATTCAGCACTGGATTGGCCTTGAAACGTAAGTAAAACGATCAAAGGAATGCAGTATCATAAAGTTTTTCCTTTTAAAACACGCGAACGTGGATTTGATGCGTCTACTTTTTTTTTCTTTTTGGTAAACCAGAGGCTGCATCCACCGAGTCTCCCAAGCAATACGATAACATCTTGGTTGAGACTAAGGGAAAGGTCGGCCTTATTACCTTGAACCGTCCCAAGGCTCTCAACGCTCTCTCCAGCCAGTTGTTTGTCGAAATCAACGAAGCTCTGCGTAGTTTTGATGCTGACAAGGATATTGGTGCCATGGTCATTACTGGCTCTGAAAAAGCTTTTGCTGGTTAGTAATATTAAATACAAAGTAGGGGTGAGTAAGAGAAATTGGCAGAAGTGTTGATTATTTTTTATATATTAAGCCGGTGCCGATATCAAGGAAATGAAGGATAACACTTTCATTGACAACTACAAGAAGAACTTCTTGGGTCACTGGGCTGAAATGACTGAGATCAAGAAGCCCATCATTGCCGCCGTCAACGGCTACGCTGTAAGTTGGCTAAATTTCTCACGCTTCCGGTTGAAAATTCATACCAAACTGTGAGGGTCCTTTACTGATTTTGATTTATTTATTTTTTTAGCTCGGTGGTGGTTGTGAGTTGGCTATGATGTGCGACGTAAGTAGTACAAAAGCTTTGTGTTTGTGTTATGAAAGTAGATTGACCGTGGGGAAAATGTGTACAATTTGCTTAGATCATTTACGCGGGCGAGAAGGCTATCTTTGGTCAGCCCGAAATCAAATTGGGTGTCATTCCCGGTAAGTAATTGAAATAAGTTAAAGTGTATAGCTTATATTCATTTGACCTTATTATCTATAGGTGCTGGTGGAACTCAGCGTCTTGTCAAGGCTGTTGGAAAGTCAAAGGCCATGGAAATCATTTTGACTGGCTCTGTCAACCTTAATGCCACCGAGGCTCTCCAGTATGGTATGCTGATTATATTGAACAAACCCACATAAATCAAAAGCGTTTACTTACGCGTGATGCATACTATGTAGGCCTTGTCAGCAAGGTTGTACCCGCTGATCAGCTTGTCGATGAAGCTGTCAAAACCGCTTCCAAGATTGCCAGCATGGGACAGCCTTCAGTCCAGATGGCCAAGGAGGCTATCAACAAGTGTAAGTTATCATTATATGGTGGATGAGATAAAAGGATATTTTTTATTTTTATACGGGATTAATTTAATATTGGACTTTTATTAGCTTTCGATGTTTCTCTGGATGCTGGTCTCAGATGGGAGCGCATCTTCTTCCAGGCTCTCTTTGGCACAGTACGTATATCAGCTTTATATGCTAGTCAAAACTGCCCTTTTTCTGGTTTACTCATATATGTTTTGCTTTTTTTAGGCTGATCAAAAAGAAGGCATGGCTGCTTTTACAGAGAAGAGAAAGCCCACCTTCACAAACGAGTAAAAGAAGCTATACTCTGTAGTTTCTCATTAAAAAAATAAACAGTTTAAAAAAATATACATAAAATCATACCACCATTTGGAACAATACAAACAGGGAAAAACGTTTTTTCTTTTAATAAAGAGATATAGCTTTATATAAATATAAATATATATATATATTACATTTCATTTAAGATTGTGTAAAGGGTTTGTAAGCTCTTATACTTGAATTTTAGGTAATTAAATTGATTCTAGTAATTATGTCTGAGGAAGAGGTGTTTCTGGGTTGGGCTGACTAGGCTGATCATCTTGGTTGGACTGGCTGGGCTGCATAGGTTGGTTAGGGTCAGCAGTATTAGAGGGGACTACGTCTGTCTGGCTGGGTTGAACGTTTCCATTGCTTTGAGTGGGCTGAACGTTCTGGCTCGACTGAGCGTTCTGGCTAGGCTGTGTAGCTTGAGTTTGGTTGGTTTGAGCCTGAGGTTGAAGGACTTTTTTTAAAATATATATATATATAGATATATATTTGGGGTTAGTATAAAGATAATCCAGTTGTATAATCTAAAAGTAGTCTATGATATTTACCTTGGTCAATCAAGTGCATTACACCATTGTTGAACAGTACATTGCTTTTAACAATGTGAGCGGTGTTGTTAACTAAAAAGTTATTTGTTAGCCGGGGAGTTATCAATGTATATAAAGAAAAAACGTACGAGTGATAACAGAGCCATTGTTGCTGACGGTAACAGGGAATTGGGCACCATTCATGGCACTCACTTGGGCAGTACCGTTACCACTAGTGGCCTCAGTGAAATTGGTAGTGTAGTAAAGTCCTTCAAGGACGTGAGTCTGCATCAAATTCATCAAGGTCTGGTTGTCATACTTCTTGTAATCAAACCCATTGAGAGCCTTATCGGTCGGTGCAAATAGAGTAAACTAAACAAGATTTATACAACATTTATAGTTATAAGCAAAGCAGAGCAAAAATAGCGGCATTATAAAAATAGAGGCTTACGTTATTGGTGGAATTCAATTGAGCAGCAATTTGAGGGTACTGCAAAAACAATTTCTTAAAGTCAGAAGTAGATGTGACGTTGTCAATAACATTAGTAGGAGAGACGGGAGGCACAAGGACTGCAAAATAAAGAGGCGCGAGTTTTTAATTTTAGTTAGCAACATGTAATTTATGCAAGTCTAATGTGTGTGTGTATTACCTTTGTCAATAATATTAAGTCTTCCGTTCGAGGCAATAATATCTCTTAAGAGCACATTAGCAGTAACTTCACCATTTCCAACTCTGTAACCAACTGGGATAGTATAGGTACTGTTGGCAGTTTTGTTACCACTGCTAGTATTGTTCAGAACAGTGACAAAGGTGCTATTATAATCAGTGACATTGTAGAAAGATTGGCCACCGGAAGAAGCAACAGAGATATGGGTGTTACTTGGTGTAGTGCTGCTTGATGAAGTAGTGTTCCATAGTGTGTTATTGATGATAGTTGTATTACTGTCAATAACCAGAGGCAAGCCATTTTCAAACTTATTTACAGTTTCATTGGTGACCATCGAATTGGCGACATAGGTGAGGTTATCCTGGACAGGAATTTCGGACAAATCAAAAGTATTGTTGACAATGTGGTACTTAATCAATTCGATAAGAGTAAAGTTCTGGTCTTTCAAAAGAGTACTGTTCCATGGGGATGTCCATTGAGTGGAATTGGTTTCAGTGGAATTATCCTGGGTTTCATTCGTTTCGGTTGCATGGATAACATTATTGCGGTGTTGCAAAATGTCCGGGCGAACCACGTATAGTTCTTCAATCATGCGAGTATGGGCGGTACCAGTCTTAGTGCTGTTGTGGGCACCGGATGTAGTATTATGCCCAGTGGTTGAGTTGGAATTGGTGGAATTGGCGAGTTGGATAGCCTGGTCCAGCGCTTCGTCAGAAGGAATAAAAACTGTAAGGTTTCCAGGTTGAGACAAGAGATCGACCACAGGCTGGAAATCAGGAGAAGACTGGAGATACTGGGCAAACTTGTAAGAAGGACTAAGCTGCGATGTGTTCAGAATTGAGAAAATGGAACTATTACTGAGTTGAGCAGTAACCACTGTAGCACCCAAGGCCATAGCTGTAACGACTTTTCCTAACATATTTATTATTTTTAACTATTTTTTCCAAAATAAATAAATAAATAAATAAAGATAAAGAACTTTTGGACTTTGAAGTTTTTTGAGGCTTTATATATTCTTGCGACAATTTGTTATCACTCAAGATCTGATCGTATTTCCTGCACTATCTGTCACTTGGCCAATTATTCAAGAGGCATGTTTAAATCAATTTCATGCAAGAAATAAAATCTTACGCACAAGTGATGCCCTGGAATAATATTTAGTGCCGTTGGATCATAAACGCCATGTTTTTAAAGAGCAAAAATAAACACAAACTATGTGATTAATTTTAAGGCTTGGCAATGTCATTTTGCTATTATTCATATTTAATTTTAAAATTAAAAACCATTATGTATATAAAAAAAAAGAAGGCTATGTACTTTAAAATTCTAATCGTTTTTCAAAATGTTAAATATATCGATGTCAAAAATAATATTATCTAAAAGCAAAAGATTGATCAGAAAGGTATGTACCATGGTTTTTCAACATCGGATCAGCGTCCCCTTGGGGAGGCCGCACCATATTAGCCAGGGATAATTGTATATCATCATATCAATCGGCATTCAACCTCAGATTTATTGATAATTAAGAAATTTTACAGTTCAATAGCATATTGAGCCTGCGGTCTGCTTCATGTCATCTATACGCTTTCTAGATCGGCGTGACAAAAGCTCTTTTTAATAAATTTAAATTACAAATGTAAATAATCAAATTTTAATTTACTTGTCACAAAATAATGAAAAATGATTAGCACTTCTTTGTATAAGCACAAATTAGCAGAAGCACTTTCAGCAGCTAGACATGATGATTCCATAAAGACACACGTCAAGGCACAATTTCTGACTATTTTTTTTTTACTTTCAGTACATTACAAATGTAGATGATGAAGTTGTATTATTTTTGCATGAGATCCCAACATTCGAGTAGTTTTAAAGTCTAGAGTACCTTTTATTATTATTATTATTTTTGTAATTTAAATGATGCAAGCCATATGTGATCTTTTTATTAGTAATGATGATGATTGTCAGTGTTTTATTTTTATTTTTTTCTTTTTCTTTTCTTTTTCTTTTAAAAACGGAAGCTTTCCACTCTATAAACAGGTATTCCTTGTTCTCCACCAAATCTTCCGCCCTTATGTGCCTTTCGGCTTCTAGCAAGAGCATCATCCATAGATTCATCCTCAATCTCATCCTTCTTTTCAGCCCGACGTGCAGCCTTGTGTTTGTGTTTGCGTGTAAATGGCCCCAGTACACCGCGCAGCTGTTCGAGTTGATCAGCAAGATCAACTTCTACTTTTACAATAGCTGCGAGTTTTTGAACGGTTTCATACAATGATGTCTCGAGAATGACAGTGGGGAAATGAGTGTCTAAGATTGCACTGGTAATCTCAAGCGTATTGTTATGCAAAGGTGTTTCAACTGCGAGTGAGACAGGATTTCTAGCATAGATAGCTTCTTGTTGTTCTGTTAAAGGTTGAGAATCTTTTTCCAGCCAAATGAGTAGGAGATCAAGTATGAAAGGAAGTTCAGTAGGTGTGAGTTGCTTAAGTGCCTGCTGCATAAAGATGTCGTTACGGGGCGAGTCAATAATCATCTTTACGTATCTGGAAAACAAGGGTTTCCAGATCGCTGGCTCTTCTTCAGTGTTCTTAATCAAAGCCTTGATCAAGACGACCAAGTCAGTTTCAGGGATATCCTTGACTTGTTCCAATACAATAGGGATTAATGCCTATAAGAAATCCGCAAATCAATATCAATATTTGTTTTGTAATATTCAGCAATAAAGTATTACCCATTTTTTACGTTCAATAAGAGCAGAGATTAATCCTCCCTTGACAAGGTGACTACGAATACGACGCTTTGCTAAGAGGAATAAAATCACTTTGATAGGCCAGAATTCCTCGTCTTTAGAGAAACATTTGTTGACTACACTTGAGACGAGACGATGGGAGAGTTCACGCTATATAATGCACGGTTAGATATTCGATTCATTCTTTTTTTTCAGTTTTATAACAGCTAATTCTTACAGATTCCGATTTTGGTCGAGTATCGCGAGCCAGGTAAGGTGCCATAATCTTTCTGTAAGCCTTAGTTTGTGCTAATATGGTCTTAGTATCAATCAAAGTATCTTCCTCCATTTGGTCAGGGAAGACATATGCCATAAAGGCCTTTGTAAATTCATCTTGGTTCAAGTCTTCTCCAAAAATGCTCTTCATTGCCAAATCTTCTTCTGCCTGAACACTTTCTTGCTTTGTCACCCATTTGCGGTAAAATTCTGCATCTCCTTTTTGACGATTGGGCTGTTTGCGAATAGACATATTTTAAGTAAAACTTAAGCTTATATTATACCATTTAATATCCTTTTATGTGGGGCACTTACGAAAACTGATTGGCCAACAGCGTCCATGCCACTTCTCATCAGACCAGCAGTATCCTGCTGGGCACCGAGAAACTCAACAGTAGATCGCATCTTTCCCATGGCAGCCATAAGTGACATAGGCTCGCAGTAATAAGGGCAAATCATAACCACAGATTTGGCATTGGTGACAGATTTTTGGCTCTTTCCGCTCTTAGAAGTCTTAATATCAACAGTGGATATAGTGATTGCAAGATGGGAGTTGGAAAGCACAGAGATCTAAAATAAAAGAAAGAAAACGTATGAGACAAGAAAATACTTCTATGCTTAAAATTTGAGTTACTTACATTGTAAACACACTTATCCTTGGAAGAAATACTCTTCTCGGTGACTTTCAGTACTTGTTCAGCTTGCAGTGTACCATACTTTACGTCCCAAACACTAACAACGTGCTCAGGTTCAGCATCTAAGAAGGTACATCGAATTAAGATCCCATAGCTTATAGTACTCCAACGCCGTTCATATAAAACCTACTCTTTTTAATTCGTGATGCAACCATAGCTACATAGCTGTCCGAGAGGGGGGTAACAGCAGAAACTGCACCAAGAGTCTCGTCATAGAAGCGATAGCCCTGTAGTTGGACCGATAAATGCTTTGTCAAATGTACAGCAATCTTGTTTGCAGAACCATGTTTCATGTACATGCGCCACACAGCCCAAGTACCAGCAGATCCCAAGGTTGTCATTCTTCCGTCAACAGAATCAAAAGTAAAGCCTACAGGTGTCTCCTACAAAATAAAACATTAATATTTTTTTAATCATGCGTGGGTTTTCTAGCCCCAACCTTTTTTATAATTAATATTAATACCAATAATACTTACAGCATGCTTCATATCAATCTTTGCAAGCAAATCCACACTTCGGCGCTCTTCGTTCATGTAATATGTGCGTACAGTGTAGATATCAGACCCCTCTATATTGCTGACGGTCATTACAACAGTTGAGAGAGCAGGTACCATGGTATTAGGAATACAGCAAGGTCGGACATGAGCACTTGAAGTAACGAAGACATTCGACCACACAACGCGAGCTTCGCTATTATTATTATTTTTTGAAGAAAAAGAAAAAAAGGTCAGCGTTTTATTCTTTGTAAGTTCACGCATATATATATATATATAAGAATCACGTATATTACCTAGATTCTTTGTGGGTTGCTGTCAAACGATCCAAATCCTTGCTATAAATGTTGATTGAGCCGTTTTCATTTACGAGGATAACATTAGAAGTCATAGTAGGCGAGATGTGAATAGACTGAATGCGTGTTTCAAACTATATACATGTAAACAGCCCGCTGTCAGAATATATATGTGTGTATATCGGTTTTTGTTCCTGCATAGTTATTTACCTTTTTGGAGATCTTGGAGGAATCACCATCCTCTCCGCCATGAGTATCTTTCCACATCCACACAATTTTGTTCTCTTCATCCTTGGTAACGTCAGGGCCAGCTGCGACCAGGGCATATGTGTAATCAAGTGAATCAGCATCGCGGCCGCCTGCACGATGAGTGGCAGGTTCAGCAAACACAATACCAGGAGGTGTAGTCCATGACTTTAAGCACTTTTGGTCGCTAGTCTACATAAAAGTATAAAAGTATATATATATAGATTTATGTGTTTATACATACATAGTTGTTAAAATACTTTAGAATACTTTCATAAGAATTGCTTATTGGTAAGCTTTAATAAGTGTATATGATTTACATACGCTGTAAAGCTTAACACCCTCTCCTTGAACAGTAATGGCAATGTGATCGGATTCAACTAAATTATCAGCTTCACTTTCAGCACTTGGGATCGCGGCTGTTTCAAGTTTGGTAAGGCCGACGACGAAATGCTTGCTCAAATGAGCAGATCCGATCGAGTTCTGGAATCGAGCAAGGGGAAAGGGTTCTTCAAGGGCAAACCCGGGCATAGCGATTTTATATGTTGGTAGAGGATTAATTTGAGGTCGAGAAAAAGAAGTAGAGGAGGTTTTTTATTCTGGTTTTTTGCCGTAATGGGCGACGGGTTTTACTTTGTGTTAGAAGGTTGAATGACCATTTGGTCCAACTTCTTTAGCACCAAGCCTTCAATAAAAAAAATGATGACTTTTAGCTGTCACGCATCGTGACAATTGCTCTCCTCCACCTTTCTAGTTTCTGGTATTTAAAGACCGACAAATCCGTTTTAAAGATGTTGAATGATACTTGTAGTTTATTTTGCTTATGCTAATACTAAAAAAGAAAATCTATATTTTATACATTTAAGTTTCAATAATGGAAAGGCCACAATTGTAATACTTTTATGTTCCAAAAAAAGTATTTAGCCCCATCAATTGACCTATTCTTCGGCTACATTTGGGGTTTTTGGGGTTTCGTCGTGTGTTCGGGATGTAACCAATTCGAGATTATTGTCATAACCGTCTGTATATATATTTGTACATGGTATAAGAATACAAGTCCTATTGAGCCAATTGATAAACTTACGCTTTTTAAAGTCATTGAGAGTTTCTTCAGGTTCAGAGAGGGTTTGGATATGGTACATTTGGTAGAATCCCTTGTAAGTCAATTGGTCCTTCTCATCAACATCAAACGACTCTGTAATTTCCTGTAAAATAATAATATTTGTATTAGTCAATGTATTCTTGTTTTATTAGTTTAATTTTTGTTTCTTACATCAATTACTGAATCATCAAACTATCAAATACAAAATGTACAAAAACAATTAAAATCACAAAATATAATTTAATATATGCTTATTCCAGCTATTCAATTAAAGATACTTACAGGCCGTCCATTGGTAGCTTCTGCAAAATCCTGGATCTCCTTGGTATTCCACACACCGTCTTTATCCTTAATTTTTTTGAAGATAAAAGAAAAAAGGAAAAGATACTAAGGACTGCTGTGATTTTTTTACCCAAGAATTGGACAGCTTGAGCTTACCTTGTCGAAACGATTAAAGATCTCTCTTAGAATCTATGATGAATGTTAAAAAATAATTCCTTTAAATGTTCTAGGAAAAACTTACTTCCTCAACTCTAGGGAGAAATTCATCAGTGTCGCCGTTGAGGAGAATAGAAAAGTGATCGATTGTTTCAGTGGCCATTGCGAGTGAAAGAAATGCTGTGCCAAGGTTTGGTTTGGTCTGCAAAAAAAAGTATAATGAGCGGAGTCTGGTCCGAGAACGTGTTTTTAGCGTTTCCTGGTAGAAATTGACACTGGCTACAAAAAGACAAATGTTCGTCTTTCTTTTATTCCTGTATTAGAGTTTTCAAATCGAAAAAGCAGAACAGCGCATTTTATAATTTTGTATTTTAGAAATAAAAAAAGGTGTAAGTAAATTAGGTCTATATAAATAATACATAAGCATACTTTCAAGAATTATGAGCAAAAATGTGTTTTTAGTATAAAGAGCCTGTTAGAAGCGTAGTCAAAGCTGACTTTTTTTTTTTGGTTAACTAGAATTTATCTGCGACTATCCTAGCGGACGGACGTTTATTTATTTATGAGATAGAACTCGATGAAGTTGGATAGAAACAGGTCTTATCTTCTATAAAGAAGAGGTGGATACCTGTGCGATAGGTAGTAAGCTAACAAGTACAAAAAGTGGAAGAAATACAGAAAATAATAATAATATTACAGAAGAAAGTAGAATTATCATAAGATAGATATAGATAACTAGTCTATGAGATATAATGACTGAAAAAAATGTAGCAATTTATTCACAAAAGCAACTATATTGATAGGGAAAAAAGACATGTCATCAAAGATTGTTCTCCGGTATGCTTTCCGAAAAGAAGTAAGAATGCCAACTAAAACATGATATAAGCAATATTTGAAGAGGAGGGACGGAAGTCGAGGGCGGAAAGAAACGCGGGATTAGATACAACTGAATGATGAGGGCGCCATAATCCACACTCTTTGCCAGGTATTCCGAGATAGATATTAGTTTGAAACAAAGAATGATCGGTTTATATATGGGAAATAAACTAGACACCATTGCTGGTAATAGAGGAGGACATAAAGTAAGGGGTAGCTGTATAGTCTATAGCGTATATAGAAGAGCTGCAAAGTAATGTAGGAAGTAGCGTAGATTCGAGAGAGGCGTGGCAATTAATAAATAAGGATCCAAGTCAGTATTGCCAAGGATGAATAATCGGTCCCGGATGGTGGGATTACTTAGGGTGGCAATAGATTGTAAGCCAGAATAGAAAGCATGGCGAGAGGCAGGAGAGGAAGGAACATATAGAAAAATAACATAGAAAGGGTCAAAGCTAGAAGGCACACAGATTACCTTTGCAAATACAGCTCGGTCATCATTAAGAATCGGAATAAGCTCAAGAGAGAGTAAAGGAGAAAGAGCGACCTAGCCACATCAATATTTTCAGGGAAAACCTCCTGCACAAAATGAACTGTGTATAATGTGAGATAATGAAGCGAATGCATATGCTTGTTGTAGAGCAATTACACCGGAGGAGGTCTTGCACAAGACGCAAATAAGGTCTAAGTAACGCGTAGGGTATACTATTTTTGTCAAGCCATTACAATTGAGAGGTTCAATAGTGACATCAAAGGTAAGGGCCGATATAATTATTGGGTTAATGGCGAGTAGTACTACCCTGTGTATGGTCAGTCAACAGTGAAGTAGCAGTCTTCGAGCAAGTGAAAACTATTTTTCCGATTTTTGTTTGCGGTGTCTTATCTTTACGGGAGAGTTCAGGGTTGTTGAGGGATTGTACATGCTTGCTAAAGACAGGTAAAATCAAAGTGCTTGTATGACTGTTGACTAGATCACAAATTGGAACAGAAAGAAGGGATATTTGCTTGGCAAGAGTAACGCGGGTATTATTCACTTCTGTCTGCGTGGACATGACCACAGCATCTACTGTACATTCAATAGCAGCGTTTAAAGGTAATTTTTTTGAGCTTTTCTTTTTGCAGCAATGGTAGCAAGGAGAGTGATGTTCTCCTTGGGGAAACAAACTCCGGCTTGACATGCTTTTTTTGTTACTATATGCCTTCCTCAGGTGAATTAGATATGAGAACGGAAGATGCCATGGTAAAATGAGAGCGGCATACCCAACGAAGAAACACCATACCCTTAAGATTGCTATTATTTTGAGCTCTTAGAGTCAATGTCTTTTTGTCTACAGATTATTATTATTGTTATTTATATGTAAACCATTAGTGAAAATAGCATATACACACATATACACATATACACCAAAATTGGATAAAGTGTTAGTTATGTAGCCAAACACTTGTTACTATCTGCTAATTATTTTTCAAAAGTCTAATATCTAGGATACAGCCGTACACAAATCGCACACATATTAGATTTATTGTAATAATGCAATAGCTTATAATTTTATTATAAACAAAAGTAGCAGGGGAATCTACACTGAAATACAGCGTTTTTTTTATTCAGATAATGATTTATACCCCACATTAATATTAAGTTGGTCTTTCAAATATACAAGAAAGAAGTGTAGAGAAGGACAAATTCAAGACAGCTCAATCAGTAGCGAGTCAATAGAAAATAAAGCCCTGTTCGCCTTCTAGCTTTATCAAAGAGAATAAGAAGACAATGCACGGGTATTTGGTACTAAAAAAACTTTACTGTTTATAGTAGGGGCTAATTATACGAGTTCCATTTTAGCTTTTGTAGAGTAAAAAACCCTCAAGTGTCAACAAATATAATAAATTTGAAATAAAATAAAGAAACTCATTACTTTAAGCTTCAATTTATCGGTGTTATTGTAGCAATAAAGACAGGGTCGGTTAAAAGAAGCTTTTTCTGTTAATGTATCTGTAAATAGAGGCCTTACATTCAATGAATATGTAAAATAGTATCTATCTTTAATTATACCAAAAATCATATAAATATAGTTATTTAAATATATATATACATGACATGTAATTCTACTACTAATATCAAAACATATTTAAACAAGATTTTCCCGTTTAAGAGCATCGTACAATGCTAAGGTAGATAATAACTTGGAGTCAGGCGCACATTTCCATGCATCTTTAAGATCTACCAGCTTTAAAGTGATATTTTCCCCATGGTCTCTGAGACCAGTTAGTTTTCCTTCTAATTCATTGATATCAGACTGTGATAGTGTTTTGTGGCAAACAAACAACCGCAGAAATTCATCTAGATATATTAAAGTTAATATTTAATGCTTAACACTGAATCATAAAGGCTCAACGTATCAACACTAGTACCTGACCCGCCAGCAGAAGGATATACTCCTCGCCATGAAGTGCCATAGGCCAGCTCAGTTAAATCAATGAGTTCATCGTCTTTAATTATCAATCCTAAATTTTTACCATCAAGATATTAATTTATATATTCTATATACTCGAAGAACATGAGGGACGGAGAAAGGAAGTTATTCAACTCGCCTGTTTCTTCTTCAATTTCTTTAGCTGCCACTCCAGAAAATTGCCCAGAACCATCCAGCATACCCGCTGGTAATTCTGGGAATTCAAGTGAAGGTACCGCTATTCGTGGCTGGACCGTCAATATCACCTTGTCTTCTGTATTTTTGCCTTCAGATTTTAAAATAATCAATACGGCCACCGACCCGCCTCTCTATACAACATATAAAGCTTATGCAAATGTCATTGCAACGGATATATTTTCAAAAAATACCATAAATACAATTCCTGGTGCATTCTTTCCAGTTTCCTTGTAACGAACATCGGCTTTGAACTTGACAAACCCAAGCTTTGAGGATCCGAAAATGTCAGTGCTTTGTATTTCGATTGAATGAATGTTCATTTCATTAGGTTGTTTGTTAAAAGTCTGGATCCAGTCTTTAAATGGCTGAAATTTCAGTACTTTATTGAGAATCTCTGGAGTACTGCCAGTAATGGGAACTTTTTGGTTTGCGATTGACACATAATGAGTCATTCTTGTATGGATGGCCCGATTACCAAGTGATCGAATGAAAGAAAGCATAATTAACCAAATTTATTGGCGTTTTAGGCTCAAACGCGTAGTCGTCACCAACCTGTAGCTTGTGGATTTATGCCCTTCAACTAACTCCTACCTACATCCAATCCAGCCATTATTTTTTTTGTTTATGCTTTAATACATCAACCAATAGTAACTTTGACTAGGAGTTAATAGTGTAAGCATATTTGTTTTAATCAATTTAAGTGTAATATAGATAACATAAGAACGGACGGTTATACTAGTTTTTTCTATACCATCAAAATTTTAATATCTGAAAGACAAGTAACTACTCTTCTAGAACCAGACACTAAGCACTTGATGTTATCTGTTGTATTTTTAGATATGGCTTCTTCATTTTATTATCGTTGTTGTTGTTGTTAAATAAAAACGTAAAAATATATGGTTAAATTTGGCTTTACTGCATATTCTACTTAGGTGTTGAGTTTTTGAAATCCCGGTCAAGCTGCCGGAAAGTACAAAACTGAACATCGGCTCAAGGTATAATAAAGAACATTTTACTTGCAATATTTGTATAATAATTTTTCAGTCTTGTCATTTATGACGTTTTTTTATTAGCCTTTGAAGAAATAAAAAGGACAATACACGGTATTAATAAAAAAATGATGATTTATCTGTATTGACAATATGCTTGATCTACTGTTATGAATACATCCCTGTATTTGTGTCAAGACTAATTTTTATTAATATTCTATTGAACAGGCGTGTAAAAATGTAAGTCAGCTGCAGGTACCAGTTATATGTTATGTTATTTTATTTTTGGATAAATATAAAATATTTTTACAGGTCATCTGTATACCAATATTACTACATTTTTAAGACGTTTTGTTTGAAATGAGAATTGTTTTAGAGAAGTAATTTTCTTTATTGACAAAATTCTCGCTTATTTCAAACTTATATCTCAGGGGCAGTAAGGCGTTCCCACTGTAGGACAGCACGGCTGGGGTGGATCTGGGGATCAAGGTGACAATAATTTGTTTTAATATAATAAGAACAATCAATTTAAAGCTAAAATTATGGATGAGGCTGACTTACTTTTGACAAGGCAACTGTCAGGACATTCTTCGGGACAGATAGGTAGTGAGAGTATGCATGCCACATGCGCACATTGCTTATCCCCAGGCTGTGGACATCGCGGCTCATGAGACATTGGACAGGGAAGGTCTGGGTATATACAAGAGTTTCTGCAGTTCTTAGGGCTTTTTAATTTTTGGTCAATGTCAGTAAATTAATGGTAATGATAACTCTTACAAAGAGAAAGAGATATTTGGCTGCTTGTCCTACATACCAAGGTACAACCATTCGAACGCATCTCTCCGGAGGCCTGTCAGGCACAAAGGGTTTATCACCACAGGCGAGTACAATAGTAAAAAATACTAACAAGAGTAAGCTTGTAAATGAAATGAATCTTGGTAGAAAGCAAATCATCAGCAATTTGGTAGATAAATAAATAAATAAAAAAGCTAGAGCAAAAGAACAATTTTATTTCTGTGATAATGAAACATATATTTATTATGCTCCTTTCTATCCGTGTAACAGCCACAGTGACGTGAGCAGGAATAGAAAGTATAGTTAAAACTTTGAGTCTTCCATATGCTGCTGTGGAAGAACAACATGTCTTCTCAGAACTCGATTGAATCCTGGATCCCAGAAAAATTGTAAAAAAATTGGTATTTGGCGCGGTACTTTTATATCCTTTGTATTCCATAAAAAGGAACCTTGACGTCAACAGCATCGGGTTGTGAAAAGAGCGAACAAGGCAACCAAAGTTGGACAAAAGGGAAAAGGGAAAAGACAGTCAGAAGATGAGACAGCTTGAGTTTCGGCATCTATCATATAATCGATCCTTAAAGAATATATTAGAAAACGACAATTGAATAGAACACTATCATGGCAATCGAAGGACAGTATAATACCAATAATGGTGGATCCAGTACAAGGATGCGAGATAATTTGGCAGGTCCCTCCCATGGTTCGAGGACTCTTACTGTAGAAGAGACTTACGAAAGTGACCAAGATAATGTTGCATCAAATGGATCTGAAGAAGAAGTTGGAGTCTTACGTTTGCGTGGTGATATGACAGTAAGAAGGCCTCGTGCCATCCAGTGGGATGAGAATGTGGTCGATAATGAACATCTCGGCAGAAAGAAATCCAAAAGTAAGATTAAAGCGATTAAGTCAAACAATTTAATTGACTGATCTTGGTCTAGTCTGCTGCATCTATCATCGTCCTCGTGCGGTTGGGGAGTCTTCAGACTCTGAGAGTAGCAGTGATAGTGGTAGTGGTAGCAGTAGCGGAGAAAGTAGTAACAATGACCGTGCAAGACCATGCAATCATAGTCACCACCGTCGCAATAAGAAGAAGAATCCTCGCCAAGTGAGCCCAAATGCCTATGAAAAGCAACCGGTTTACAAAGGTGTGTAGTGTTTAATGTTTAGCAAAAAATTCTTACATGTACTCGCTTTCCAGATCGACCGCAGCCACCGTCATCCTAAACTGGACGCCTCCTGTCTCAAGCATAGATACAATATATATATAAAAAAAACATTGTACACCAATATGTATGTAAATACTCGCTCTAAACGTCTTATCTGTCAATCTTCTTTAAGGAGAACCGTCCCAGATTTCCTTTTCTATTCAACAATATCAAATATATACACTTTTTTTCACTTATACTTGTGGAAACATTTGGTTACTTCTACAAGAAACTTATGTATTTTAGAACAAATTTAAGAATAATAAGGGGTTAAAGACAGGAAGATATTATGACGACATTAAAAGGGGCGAAAGCTCATTAAAATGTGAGGGGAATGCTAGTGTAAAGTAATTGATAGGATGAGCGATAAAGTCTGAAAGCAAAGAGAAAGTGAAAGAGAAAGAGAAAGAGAAGGATAGGCTCCTTTGATTCTCTATTTTTAATATTTTGACCTTTTTCATCTTACAATCCTTCGTCGTCAGTCTGCTTTCTAGCCAAATAATCCTTAACCCTTTTTCATGAACACTTCTCACCAGTTGTGCGCAAAAGTGACTAATAACGCATCCTCACTTCGACCTGAAGATCCAGGAAAGACTTGGACAGATCTACTTACTTATGGATGTCGGAAAAAGAAGAATACACGGTCCAAATCAATGTTTGAAATGCCATTTGTAAAGACAGACGACAGGCAATGGTGTATAGACATGCCAGACACTAATTGTATCAAAAATTGTCCGTCCTTAACATCCGGAACCTTGTCTTCCATATCATCATCTGCGTTAGAGCCTTCTAGTAGTCAAACTACAAATACACTTCGTGATAGTATTGTTTATTCTGTCCTAGGTTCTCAGAACAGTACAAAATCCCTTCCACAGTTAGAAACATACCCTGAAAATCAACTTTTTATCATCAAATTTTCTCAAGCCTTTGTTGGTAACGGAGCACCATCCCATCGACTCGACCATTGCGCACAACAACTTGCGCAAAAATTCGGTATTAAAGCACAGTTTGGATACTTTCCAGGATTCTTAATTATCTCCTTTGGTGAACCTGGTAAAACTTGCTATCTTTATTTTATATACCATAAAAAAACGAGGCATTGTACTAATACTTTATTTCCCCCTTTTTTTTAAAAAAAAAACTAAAAACAATATATAGGGACTTTGTGCTATTCAGTTCAACTCATTAAAGTAAACTCAAGTCTAAACCTCAATCGTCTAACAAGCATCTTTCAACTATTCGAATCGGTTATGTGCGACGAAATTACCATACTGGAGGCCACTCGTTCCCTAGAACCTATTGTCTGTCGACCAAGTATATATCCACCATGGCTTATCATAGCAGCACATGCAGTCGCTTCTAGTATAAGCACTCCCATGTTTTTCGGAGGTGGTCCAATCGACATGTTATTCGGACTATCACTTGGATTCGTAGTTGTTATTGGATCCCTCTATGTATCCCATCGTGTTACTCGTCTAGCGACCATATTTGATATCTTGCTAAGCGGAGTGGTTGGATTTCTTGCGACAGTCATATCCACCAGGTTACCATCTAGTGACGCCTGCTTTTATGCACTCTCTATAGGCGGTGTAGTAAATCTTTTGCCTGGTTATGCCACACTGGTCTCGATTCTAGAGATCGCTGATGGTGCAATCGCCTCTGGAACTCTTAGATTGACGACGACGCTGATATATTCCCTTCTTCTTGGATTTGGCTTAGCAATTGGTGCAAATACTCACCAGCTCATTTTCCCTTCCCTTGCCCTGGAATCTTCTAGTGCTGCTTGCAAGAGTACAATGTCACCCTTATATCACATCATTTTAGTACCCCTCTATGCCGCTACTAGTGTAATCAAGTTAAAGGGAGACCCACAAAACTATCCCGTTATGTTGGTTCTAGCAGCCATTTCGCACACTGTGCACACCATCACACTACAGAATTTTGCTGCATATCCTCACATGGCCACGATACTAGCGTCCTTCGCAATTGCGTCTGCATCGAATATATATGCTCGTCTAAAACCTACTGTTGGATTTGCGGATATGCTTACTGGGCTAATGTTCCTCGTGCCCGGCTCCATAGGTGTCGCATCCTCTCTCGATACATTTGGTGAAGCCATTTCATCTTCAAGTCCAATGTCCGAGATATCAGTCATTTTAAATGCTGGCCAGCAGGGAATTGCATTCGCAGCTCATATGCTGATTATTGCAGCATCTGTCTCTGTTGGACTAGTACTTGCAGCAGTAGTCGTATATCCTCTCAGGAAACTGATTGATTTTAAACGTGGGTCACCTCATGAATATAAACGAAAAAACTGGGTTGGCGAGGTTACCTTATGATTAGATAAAATATACACATGTCCACACACACACACACACATACACTTGTGTATATCAAGCATCAGAATCGTTTCTTCTATTGTATCAATTATGTAAATGTCTTTTTTTTTTCCTTATACCTGTTCATAAAAAATTGTCTATAAATAATCAATTGAATTTAACTTACTAAAAAAATCCGAGATATATTATTATGCTACTGTATGTATGCATGTATGTATGTCTATTCCTATGTCTATATAAAGTAAGACAGATCAAAGATGAAACAAACTAAGCCATACCCATTTTTATACAAGTTAAACTATGTATTTACAATTGAACCCGAGAAATTGGATAGTTGATTGTACGACGTCATTACAAACTGTGATTTAACCTCGTTCGACTGAGCAGTAAGCACAAGGAAAAAACTATCCTGTGATTCAATGCCAAATAAAACTAAAATTGTTCCGTGTGAAGGTAAGAATATCCTGGTCCACACTCGGCCAAAAAACTTGAAAATCAAAACTTATATTTTATAACAAAGGCTGTCGAGAGAGAAAAAAGAAATGTAGTTCTGGAAATCCATGCGAAAGGTATAGCACTTATTTTTCTTTTTGACTGAGGGAAAAAAAGTGTGAAAGAATCAATACTAATTCATTGTTTGGTAGATGTATAAATCTCGGCATTGAATGTTATTACATTCAGCCTGCAATTCCTCCTGATGTTGATTATCTTGAGATGATTAGCAACCAAACAACAGCATTAGACGTTTATAAGCTTGAGACCTTAGTATCGGAAATGGAGCATGAGATTGTTAAGCTTCAGCAGTACCAACAAACCAAGAGGTATAAGCGCGGAAACTCGGAGGAGACGGATGACAATGACAGTATTTTAAGTTCAACAACTGTCTCACTTACCGAATCGAGCGTGTCTTCTGTCGACGTATTACCCCCCGAAGACTTGAACTGGAAGCTGTCAATTGGAAAACATGGCATGCGTATAGATACCAATATCGATTCTTATCTTATACTTTTACAACAGTTGGAGAAGATAAAATATGGGTCATACATACCTTTATTTCGGCAACCTCCCGTTGAACCCGCTGACGATTTCTTAAGGCGTGGCATCCTTAGTACTACTCTACGGACTGGTCTTTTCAAATCAATACAACGCTGTATCGCTTCCATCGCACACAAACAATTACCAGATATTGACAAGCTTGAAGATTGTGGAGACTCAGAAAATCCCAAGCCTATTGCATTGACTTTGCTGGACGCTTATTTTTCTTGCAACTTCTTCCGTCTTGTTATTTGTCAGAAGACAGCATTCTATCGTCTGTTTGTCAATGAAAAAGATCCAGAATCATCTGCTGTCGTGTGTGCTGTATGTGCTGTAACACTTACTATACGATGCCGACATGCTCTCTGTAAGGTTCCATACAATAATCATGTCAAGACAAGTGAATATTTCTTTAATCGTGCACGAAGACTGGTCGAGCTCCAGTTCGATGACATTAGCCTAGAGACTATGGCGGCATATCTCTTCATGGCTTCTTATAAAGCCAACATGCTACGGGTAGAAGAAGCCAAAACTTACCTTGGTATGGCAATCAGAATAAAAAACCTAATACAAGACGATTACATTCCAAAGTCTGCGCCAAATAATCTGTCAGAGGAATTTATTCAAGATCGAGAGATGTTTAAGCGATTACATTGGGGCCTCTATGACACTGGAAGTTTCATTGATTTTTGCTATAACAAACGCGGTATTCCAGTAATTGCCTCACGAGGACAAATGAATCGAGGAATATCGTGCAACCTCTTGGATAATGTATCTTTGAAGGATTATTTACCTGTACCAACTCCAGATGAGTCTCCAGATATAGCTCGCGCTGTAATTAAGGACAGTTATGCAAGACAGTTCCAAAGTATATTAAACTCGTACCTTCGAGTTATACGTAAACCAGGCACCGGAATAGTTCCAGTCTCTTTACTCATAGCAACCCAAGAACATCTCACCGAATTCTATTACAAAACAATTGAGCCTGAATATCGACTTTCACTCAATATTTTTGAAGATGGTCTGACAGATGAAGAATTTCAACAGAGACTGAAGAAAGATATTAACTGTGATCGGGCATCAATTACATTGGCTCTAAGATTCTACTCTAGTATGCTTAGCTTGTATGAGCCCTATTTACCTGAAGTACCACAAAATACAAAGATGACAAAATCACCACTGACAGTATTGGATCCAGACGAAGAAGACATGTTTGTTCTCTCTCCACCAGAACTATTTGAACCAGACATCGATAGTTCAGTACATTTTCCTCACCCATCAGTTTACGCCCTCCGATCTCAAGAGATCTGCTTCAGATCGGCTGTGATTGTAGTAAGGCTTCTTGAGTATCAATTATCACAATTGGATATTTGCCAAGTTATTATGCCCTGCCTTATGGCAGCTTGGGATGTACATATGCGCAATGCTTGTCTCGGACTCTCTAATCCAGATAAGTCTGGCACTTTTCTGACTTCTCGCACCATCAAGATATCCCGTGAATATGTTTTACGATGTATTAATGTAATGAGAAAGGGCTATTTATTCAACTCTGCTGAACATCATATGTGGAAACACTATCAAAGAATTGAGCAAAATGTATTTAATATCCTATATTCTGGGGTAACAAATACGGCTCCCTTCTGGGAACCATTAGAATCAAGTGCCTGGTGATAAATTGTATAATAATAACCAATTAATAGACACTTTTTTCATTTATTTTCCTTCTGTACTTTATAAAAAATTATTTAATAGTAATCGATGTCTTTATTATTTCGTTTATTTTCACAATTTTTTCTATAAAATAAAATCCCTATTTAATAACAATAATAAAATTAAAAATAAAAATAATAAAGATTCATGTATATTTGTGTATATATATAAATATTGGTTATGCATATCTTCGCCTGAGAGTCAACGCTACTTAATTGGGCACGAAGCGAGGTGAACAGATCATTTGAAAAGGGAACAATAGATACTGTATCACTACAAAAAGCAGTCATTTTAAAAATATAGCATAATTTTAAACAGTGAACTTACATTTCTAAATTCCCTATTATGTTGTTCGCCATCGTACGGGGGAATCATCGAGGGAATTTAAAGAAAAAATTACTTTACATAGCAATTCATCCGACTCCTAATAGATATCTTGATTAGAGTTAGTTTGGTGCTTTTGTCGACATTACACTTTGAAAAATAACCAAAATATTCAAGTACATACACTCTAGAAAACAGTTTTTAGTTTATTTAATCATTTTATTGCTTCCAATTTTCTATTTTAATAGAAAAAAACCTACTTGCGTATTGTATAATTTATAGCATAAGTAATGTACTGGAATGATTTAATTAATTGTATATGCCAAAGTGTCTATTGCGCTAATTATTAGGCCATATAACTTTTTTGAATCTTTTGGGTTTTTCCAAACAATATGCCAACAATTTTATATAAAAATTGCTGGATAAAGTATACAAGTCATTGGTTTTATTCATTTATTTTATTCGGTTTTTTTGTAATGAATATGACTAAAAATTTTCGAGTGGATGTTGAATCAGTCATCATTCCTTTTAGCCCAACCAAATTCGTCTGCATCTTCTTCTTCAAATATGTCGTTTTCCTCTACTTATTTGACATCGTCCTCGGGTTTGCTGCGGTGTGCTTCTCTTCCAAACAAATCGAAAGGCAGTTGCGACTTGGCTTGTTGCTGGCGGGTGGGGAGTACCAAGTCGGTCTCATCCATTCTGGTCTTGCACGGCCTTCAATTAATGGTCTTGCTCTATTGAACGTAAAGCCTATGGAGCTCCTTCTGTTTTCCAGTTGTTCAATGGCACATTTTATGTCAATAGCACATTTTTCTAATTTTGACTACAAAAAAAAAATAAAAAAAAAAGAGAAGACAACTTGTCATTCTTCTTTTTATTAGTCTTATGTATATACATTGCTTACCACAAATAATAGTATAGAGCTGAAAGTATCAAGAAAATCACTCATTGTTGCAGTACTTGTAGGGAGCTTCAGCTTTCCCTGTGGTATAGCCACATACAAATTATTAAGGTAAGTTAACAGATGCTATTTCACCTTGGGGATCGCAAATTTTCACAAACTACGCAGACAATAATTTCCCAATATTATCTTCCATCACGATATTTAGAAGGCCATCTAATACATCTTTTGATTCTCTAACAACTTTTCCAAGCTCATGCAGATGTTTATCATCATTGTTCGTCTCGACAACTTCATGAGCAATGACATATTTATTCTTCTGGACCATACATTATGCTCATTCTGCTATGATATTTGCCTGTAACAGAATGGTATAACTCTATATGTTTGGAGGATATGGTAAACAGAAATGTAAAATTATTCATTATTTATTTCATTTTGCCTTTCTTTGACCTTTGTCTTGAAAAGGATGGGTTCTTCAGCCTCTGATTTTGGTGTGATTATTTAATAGCTTTAGTTGGTACTTCTATACTGGTTCTAGATTTTTTAATGAAAAATCTTAGATTTTTTTTCTGGTAATATTTATGTTAAAGAAAGAGAAAGACATTCTACAAATAAGAAAGTCAATAAATAATAAAATATCAAACAATATTATGTCACAATTTAATAACAACAACTTATAATCTTCTGTTTAACTAGCTATTGATATTATGTATTTATAACTAATTATTATTTGTTATGCCTTTGTAAAATTCAGGGGTACTAGTCAAATATATAGTATGTACTTCAGGACACAGCAATTTGCTCTGAAAGATTAGAGAAATATATCAGACCTTAGTCAGGTGCTGTATTTTTACTACTTATTTGCCAACTTTGAATAGACTATTCTCACATTTGAATCTTATTTCCATTCAAATTTATAAGGATAATCTCACTGATTCTATTAAAGAATCTGTGAAAAAAAAAGGTCGAGAAATCCAATAGCCAAGGTTGAACTTTTAATTTTATGGTTTTTTCCTCTCACTGTTAGGATAAAGAACTGCTTTTTGAAATATTCTAAAAACAATTTTGTGTGAATTTAATTAGAAAAAGTATATGCAAATTTATGTATCAATGTGTGAATAGTCTATTCTAAGTTGATGAATATAATTTTATTAGCATTATTATATTTTCAAAAAAAATCAGCTGTAATCTCTAATCCACTTTTTTTTAGCTGTAAAATTGCATTAGCATTATCTTTCCCTCTGTATTTTAAAATTCTTTAACTTAAAATTACACTCAAAAAATATTTTATTAAAAGTATTATATTATTAAATAAAAGTGAATATTTTTTATATAATATGCTTTTTCTAAATAAAATAAACTATATTTTTTCATTTATTTTTAATAATAAATTTAAATGGAAGAGCAAGTCTTTATATAAATTATTTGAGAGAATATTATTTTAAATATATATTAAGAAGTTATACAATCTTATATCTTCTATTGTGATATTTGCATGTAATATTTTTTTGATGTTAAGAAGAGAAGAAGAAAATCTTAACTCTTATATTGTGAGATGTGCATATTCCTATTTTAACAATTTTATTTTATTGGGGAATTCTTATAATTCCAAATATTAATTTATTTTAAAGAAAAATATATATAGCTTTAATATTTTATATATTTTTAAAGAACATAGTGAACTTGATAAAAAATAATATACTTATTATTACTTTACTAATATATATTTAGGAGATCAAATAATCACTAGTTTCAATTTATATATATTTTCATAAGTATAAATACTTTTATTATATCCATTAATATTAACTACTAGAAGTTATAAAAAAAATTATTTTAATTTTAATTCAATTTTTATCATAGCATATAACCACTAACTTTTATTTACTTATTTTTTCATATACTTCTAAATTTATATTAAATAAAATCACTGCATTTCTTTTGTTCTTTTGTTTTTTTATTTTTTATTTAGTTTAATAATTTGATAAGTTTACTATTTATATATATACTTTTACTAATTTACTTACATTTTTTTCTTATTATATATTATATAGATTATTTAAAAAAGCAAACACTAATGATAACTATTCAAAACAGTCTATGATAATATTTTTTAAATATAATAGTACTGACTTTAATAGAAAACTATGTTTTTGTTATGGTAGTTGAAGTTGAAGAAGTTTTTAAGAAGAAGAATTAAAGATTTGAGATGAGGAACGAAGATTCGTGAGAACTTGTGTAGAGTTTGTTTATTGAGAAAGATTTGGTATCAAAGTTTGACGAGGTTTCTACACTGAACTACTACTGCTATTTATATTATTTTGGATCAGGAAAATTATATGACTGGGGTCAGGTAATCGATCCTATCTGAGCCTTAATCAGAGCAACGTGATCTTGGGATAATTAATGTATGATTAATTATATAAATGTGTAGTCCCAATGAAGTATTAACATCGAAAGTAAATGTGTTTATGAGTTATAATTATGCTTATAATAATCCACTGATGTATCCCATATTATGGTGATATCATCATATGAAATATAATCACTATCATGCATGCTAAACCTGTGTGTTAAATAATAAAGTAATCGGTAGACACCTTTGACTGGAATAGCTGAGGCCTTATATTATTTCTTTCAGACTTATTCTCAATTACAGCAGTAGTCAATACTCATTTACAACACTCATTTACAACATTTTTCTTGTTCTTTAAATAAAATATATTAAAGTACTGACAGTTTAGTTAATAGTAATATTTATTATACTTTAAAAATAAAAGAAGAGAAATAAAGTATAAATAAGAAGTATAGTAAGACTTTATTTATTAATAAAAAAATGATCTTCTATTACTATGCAATATATAAGTTTATATAGATATTAGGTGCTCATGGAATCAGTTATTAATATAAAATTTTCTATTGATTACTTTACTAAACACTATATATAGTGATTTTCAAAATTCAAAAAAGACTATTTTGCTTTAAAGTTTACGAATTTTTTCCCTGCTCTCTACCAGGAAAAAAAAATAGTTAATACCCATATATGGTAATTTCCATAATTCCTATTGACACTGCATATAAGAATCATGTTTTTATTATATTATTCTATTTTCTAGGCTTTTTTTATATATATTAAAGCTAGTATTTTTTAGAAAAGCATGCAATACATTACTATAAGTAAAATATATTGTTCCGAGCAGTATACTTTGTACTTCTTTAACAAGAAATAGGAAAAACAATTCATTTTAATATGCTATATATTTAAATAAGATTATATCTCTTGAGTGTAGTGTGGTGATCCAGACACTCAGATGTTGGATTTATCACATATAAGAACATATTCATATTGGGATAGCATAGTAGTTATAATCTTGTCAGTATAAAATATATATAAACCATTAAGTAATCAGGCCAATAATTATTATAGTTAGTACTGTAGATAATATCTTAAAGATTATTAAGATAATTATATCATACTGCCAGATAAACTGTGTCAGATCGATATGAAACTAATTTAGTAGGAAGTTCTAAAGCTCTAGTATAAAAGAGAAAAGAATAGCTAAGAGCTAAAGAAGTATAATTTATGACTTGATGTCATAATTGTAACATCAACACTAGTTAAGCAGTAAATATACTCTAATAACCAAATATAGTAAAGAAAGAAAGCCTTAAGAAACTAAGACGTAATGACAAGAGCAGATTGTGTTTTCTTATAAAAAGGGACACTTTTTATTTATGAATAAAGGACAACTTATATATAGTCTCAAAGTATTTCTATATGTCTCTATTATTAAATTTATTATTTTTCTATTGTTTTGTACCTGAAATACCACAATTTATTTAAAAGTTAGAAAAATTAAATTGCTGAGTAGAGTGGATTTTTTTTTATGTAAAAGTAACAATTTTTGATCCCAGATAAAATAAAAGTTAGTCAACTGCTGAAAATGCTCTTACACTACGGGAAAAAAAGTGGGGATTCCACTGGGGATTCAGCTGGAGATTTAGCTTGGGATTGAACTGGCAATTCTTGTGAATTGCAGTAGAATCTCTAGTTCCCTTTTAAGTAATATATTTTAATCACCATTGACTTATTGATGTTAGGTTTTATTCATATCCTGCTATATTTATCCATCTGCTATAACCTTATTTTCATTGGTAGAAAAAAAAATATAAAAAGATTTCTATTGGTAAGAATGAAAAAAGAAGTTCTTAAATTGGTAATAAAATATTATTTTGGTTTTTATAATTATTTTAATTGGATAAAATACATTCTATTATTGTATATGCTTCAATAGTATTGGTCATTTCAACAGAAACATTCTCTCAAATGGCCCTCATTTATATATATTCTGATTTGTTCACAATTTTAATTGGGTAAAAAAGTTTCATTTCATAGAGGATTTTTATTTAAAAATACTTTTATTAATTGTTATAAAAAGGACAATTCTTTATTCATTAATTGTATTGGCTAAATATCATTTGAATAATTTCATGCTTTCATATTAAGTATACAATTTATTATACCTATCTGACATGAACTTACGAGTTCTTTCCTTCACGCAGTTTTTCTATGACTGAAAGACTTTTGCAACAAATATCCAGTTTTTGTGACATGTGGTAAAGCCGACACAACTTTGTTTAAATAGACACACATGTTTGGCGTACATTATGCCCTTGTTTTCTTGAGATAGACATCGTATTTGGATTTATTTCTAAAGATTGTACAGAAAGATAGATGGCCATTTCATTACATATAAGACGTGGACGTGTTAATAGTTGTTTTGTTTTTCTTGTTGAGTTAAACCAAGAACATGACTCATCATTTTAAAGTCGTGTTTCAAAGTTATAGTTTTAATACAAGCATTAATCTCAAGATTAGGACATCAAAGAACTATATTGCTTTACATTAGCTTATATGTTTTTCTTTGCTTTATTATTTCTTACATCATAGTCTGGGGTGGGCTTCTCAAGTGTGTATTCATTTATGTCATTAGATAGTTCAGAAATCTCCAGTCGTAGAATGCCTGTTACTTTTAGAGTGCTTTTTGGCCCTTTTGCAAAATAATAAGCATTTCTTATATATCCCGAAGTATTTCTTGCATACCTTGAAGCAGATAAATTACTGAATCTTCTTAATTTTTTATGATAATAATAAAAATCCAGCGTCAGGGTTTGTTATGAACAAAAGAAAGAACAAGAAAGAAAAATTTTCTAAGTCGTCATTAGCATTATATATTTTGTACAAATGTATTGGTTACTCTTTGATATGAAATATCAATATAATAATTTTATAATGGACATACACTTCCCTATTCTAATTTTTTAGCATGTCTTTGAATTGTTTTCACATATTTTATTCAAGTAATAAAAGTTTGATATTTTCTTTCTCTTTACTTCTGACTTGTAATAGCTATCAATTGCAATAAACACTTACTAAAAATGTAAAGTCTGTAGTTAAAATGCACTTTTGTCTATCAGGAGATTTAATTTTTGGTGGTCAATTTGCTTTTTATCAACTTCTTCAAAAACAGAGACTCTTATTTCATTTTGAATTTTTGGTGAATTTTTAATTATTATAGACCAAAAAGAAAGTCACTAATTCGAAAATCCCGAGTTTTTTCCCGTAGTGTTAGTTCAGTATTTTTAAATACTATCTTTTAAGTAAACAGAAGCAAACAATGAAGAGAAAGTTAAGAATATTATTTTTTTTATCTTAGTAGAAGCTAAAATTTTCTTTTATTTTGTTGTGGTGGTTGAAGTTGAAGTTTTTAAGAGGAAGAATTGAAGATTTGAAATTAGGAACGAAGATTCATGAGAACTTGTGTAGGTTTTGTTTATTGAGAAAGATTTTGTATCAAAGTTTGACCAGGTTCCTACACTGAACTACTACTGCTATTTATATTGTTTTGGATTGGGAAAATTATATGACTGGGGTCAGGTAATCGATCCTATCTGAGCCTTAATCAGAGCAACGTGATCTTGGGATAATTAATGTATGATTAATTATATAAATGTGTGTAGTCCCAATGAAGTATTAACATCGAAAGTAAATGTGTTTATGAGTTATAATTATGCTTATAATAATCCACTGATATATCCCATATTATGGTGATATCATCATATGAAATATAATCACTATCATGCATGCTAAACCTGTGTGTTAAATAATAAAGTAATCGGTAGACACCTTTGACTGGAATAGCTGAGGCCTTATATTATTTCCTTCAGACTTATTCTCAATTACAGCAGTAGTCAATACTCATTTACAACATATTTAATTGATAAGACTGTAGTTTTCATGAGTTAAGCTAGTAATTTTTATTTTGCCTTGTGTACTTTATATTTTGCACTTTTTCCAAATAATCATCAAAGGGGATGTAGCTCAAATGGTAGAGCGCTCGCTTAGCATGCGAGAGGCACTGGGATCGACGCCCAGCTTCTCCAATTGAATTAGTATAATTAATTCTTTGTTCGTTCAAAGATTCAGTTGTATTTTTGTGTTTTGCCCGAAATTCTGACGGCCAATCAGAATAACATTGTCGTTCCCGATCTGGGTTGGTCTTCCTTTTACTATAACAAAGTCAAAAGGTCAAACCCACTGGGGATCAAGGAGTATACGTAAAATCAAAGAGAGGATAAAAGATACCTTTTATTAATATGAATTGAATTGTCTTATATAGTTTTCTAAACTAATACTGCGCATAAAGAAGTACTGCGGTTAACTATCTTCAGATTTTACGGATTCATCAAAATAATGTCCGACAACATCAATGTCAGAGTTGACATCGATGACCAAAATCGGAAGTTACAAGCAACCAGTAACGGTTGACTTTTTAGGATAAAAGATCTTGACTTCGCCGATTGGTCTTTTGTCTATGTTTTAGATGTTGGAGATGAGGAATATACTTGTAGAGATATTACTGGATAACCACCATCTAAGACATATTATCGTAGCTATTCTTTTAGCCAGAAAACAACAATTGTTTTGTATAAATAGTCAAGAATTACATTTAATAAAAATCATCTTTATTCTTATCTAAAAACTATTCTTAAAAACTTAACGATCCCCAGTGGTATTGATTCTGCGACTTGGTTACAAGTGCCAGAAAAGAAATACCAGATCGAGACTTGACAAATAACCAAAGTCGCGGTTTACAGGTCACCAGTAACGGCTGACTTTTATGTTTTAGAAGTTTAATATGGTGAAAACACTTGTAGAATATATTACCAGATAGTTATCATTTAAGTCATATTTCTGTAGCTATTTATTTGCTCTAAATCTCATAATCATTTTGTATCAGTAGTCAACAACTATTTTTAATAAAAAGTATCTTTCTTCTTTTCTAAAGACTATTCATAAACTTGACAGTCCCCAGTGGTATTAATTCAGCTACTTGGTTACAAGTGGCAAAAAAAAAGAAATACCAGATCGAGACTTGACAGTTACTCTCTTTTGCTCGCAAAAGAATTAGAAAATACATAGCTTAACAAAAGTAGAATAAATACCGAAACAGACATTTATAACGACTGAGTCGGTTTAGAGAAGATATAAAATAGAACAATACTTCATTAACTAAAACTGATATATCTTTCTATCCTCTTTTTATTCTTCTACCCTCAATTACAGTTTCTAGTGTATTTGAAGGACAAACCGGATCGAAATGATGCTCTTATAGACGTGTTTCTATTATTTTAACTTTTATAAGTTTTGTAATAAATTATGACAAATATAGATTTTTAGAGTAAATATATATAGGCTAATTGCTTTACTCAAAGTATATTATCTTTACATTTTATGGTAACCGATTAGATACTTGATATGGATTTCTATTTACAATATCGGCTCTGACGTTTTTATTTTTTTAACTGCAATATAATATCTTTTTTTTTTAGCTATAGCACTGTGTAATAATCCTTGAAATTAAATAAATATCATAGATAGTTAAAATATTAATACCACTAATATATGTTTTTTTAGAAATGAAAGCAAAAGACGAATTCATTCTAAGCATTCTTATCTAAGTACTTAATTATACATCTCATGTAGCATTTATTTTTTAAGAAAGAAAGAAAAAAGCAGTTTATATAACACTTAATTATGTGTGTTTTACTAAAAAAAAAAACAAAAAACAAAGCAAAGCAAAAAAAGAGTATCTTGGCCTGTTAATTACATTTGTGAGTACGACCAATTTTTTGGCCAGTCAAGAGATAGCCCAGGAACAAAATTGTCGGCTATCAACCCATTCTCGTACCCAAATCTTCCCGCCCATGCACAATAATCATGTACAAAGATTCTTGATTCTTCTACAATTTTATCAGCGTACACATGATTTGTTGGCGCATACCTCCACTTGTGAGCTTTCAAGACTCTTTTTGGTAACTGGCTAGGTTGATGCCCACCAAGTTTGTCTTGATCTCGGGTAAAATCGATCGTATTTCTTGGAATATTATTGCCAAGTTTAGCGTTATTGAGAGACTGACAATTCCTGCCATCGGAACCAGTAGACGTAGTATTGGAGCGAGTTAATGGGGTAAAGTAAGGCAAGGTATGATTCCACAAAGAAAGTCTATCTGGCGGAGCAGCTGGCGAAGAATCTAGTGTTAATATTACCGGCGGATTCTTAGAGGTATCTTGTGTATGTATTAATGGTAAAAGTGTGATATCCCGTTGAGATGAGCTATCACAGGTTTTTATAGGTGCTTTGTTTGGAGAGCGGTTATGTGGTAGTAATATAGACTGTACATGCTCTTTATTCTCCAATAGAGATCCGACTTTACTGGAGGCTTTATATTTCTTTGGAAACTCAGCTGATTCCGTATTACTAGACGGTTTTTGAGAATAAGTCGTGCCAGTGGGGGTGTTTGTAGAGTTGCTTCGCTTAAGACTATCAGGTTGGGATGATATTATATCTTTGTACAAGCTTGGTATAGTGTAGAACTCATTGCATGTTGTTTCAAGAGATGAGTGTGGCATTATATCGTCGTGATCATTACATCCAGAAGTGTCGCGCATTTTAGATCCCGGCATAAAAACTCTCAAAATCCTTTCTTTCTTGGAAGGAATTTTAGTAAAGCCAGACAAAGAAATGTTTTCTTTATCATCGTGGAGCTTATTTTTTGTAACAGACTTGTTCCGTTTGTTGAGCGAGGTTGGAGGTACGGTTTTGAGAGGTGCTCTTTGTACAAGTTTAGAGCAAAATGGCGGAAAACTAACTGGCTTTGGCATAGTATATTCATACATTCTTGCAATTTTATCAAAACGAGTCGACTCATCTGTAGTACCCAAGTGTTTTTGCAGATGACTGTACTGATTGTGAAACGATTCCAGCATTGCTTCTAAAACAAGATGAACCTCTCTAGAAAAGAAAAGAAAATAAAACTATGAATTTTTAACTGTATTCTTCACCCCAAAAAAAGACATAAATACATACAGTGCGCATTGATCGTAGGATAATTTCTGTTGAATTGAAGCGTTTGGATGTATACCTTTGAGAGTTTTTTTTTAAAAGTATTATGACAAAGAAAATCAAAACCAGTTACTTATAAACGACCAGAAATCATTATTACCTTTGCTTTTTAGTAAATTATTATTTTTCATCCATACTTTTAAGCATTCTCTTCCATCGCAAAGAACGTCATCCCCTCTTCCACCCCTTTGCATAGCTCTGTCATGTGCATTACCCCATCGGATACTCATTGAGGTCCACACACGTCCAACACGCCACATAAGACATCGCAAAAAGAATACTCGAACATGACGTCCCCAGTGTAGAAGTAGGCGCTCAAACGTAGAAGGTTCAAGTAGTATCTGTACAGCTAAAAAATCCAACAGTTCTGCAGTTGGCGTCAAGAATGAGAAGTGCATATAGACAAAAGAAAGGGTACGAAGGAGCGTAATCGAATGGTCTGATTGTACAAGAAGTATTCGAATTGTGTGGTTTAAAAATGGCATATCGATCGGTAAGTTGCTTGGTGTCAAGTGAATACTTTATACAATAACCAAAAATAATGATATTAATGTTGGCACATATATGCAAAGCAATTGTGTTAAAAAAGTTACCTTTTGATTTCGTGTATAGTTGCTTCAATAAAATCAAGTAAACCTATGTTAATAGAATGTTAGACATATACATATTTATATATTCAAAGAGAGATATTTACAAAACACGCTCTCCACACATGAAAGACTGGTTTTTTTTATTACTGTCCGAAGTAAGACATTGATCATATCTTGGTAAAGTCCTGATGTACTAGATACTATTGTGGTCCATGCAAGACATTCTGCGTATCTTTTTGTTGTAACTTCGAGCGGAGGAGGTTTTCCGATATGTTGAGGAAGGTAATTTGAGGATAAGAATTGTTTGGCAACAGGCTCTTGGTTTTGTCTAGCTTGTTCTCCAAAACTTAATATTGCAGCCTGAGCATCCATGATTGCTGAATCGGACATATCTTTGTTTTCCAATGCTTTTATAGCGTCGCTATAAGCATTGATATCATTACTTGGCTGTTCCAGCGATGTTTGAGTGCATGTGCCTTGCTTAATTTGTAGCTCAGACTCGGATGTCAAAAAAGGCTCGTTCTTAACGTGTGTTGTCGTAGATGGCTGAGGTGATGATTCCTTGGATACCTGAGCTGGGTGCATAGTAGTCACAGAGTTGATTTCACGATGAAGAAGTGAATCTACCTTTGAGGTAAAGAATGATACAATATACACATATCCTGGAGATACAGCAAGCATCGAATTGCGCTGGTGAAGAGTCTGTTGATGGAGAGTAGGGAATACAGCAGAAATAAAAGTGTCCAAAGTTGCATGGTATTGTCGATAGAACGAGAAAAATAGTTCACTATCGTCGCTCTTCCATCTAAGTCCAAGAAAGGAAGTTAAAGAATATATATGTTTTTACTCTTGGACTATATGATATTACCTCCTGACCCAATTTCCAAATACCTCAGTTGGGGATTTTTTATTGCCTGCTGGTGCGTTTAGCTGCGTTACTTGTGAGTCGTATCTCATAATCGAATGTAGATGTTGAGGAAAGGCGTATTGAAGGTAGCTGTGATATTGGGCACAACTACATATTGAGCCGTTAGTGTATGAGTTATATATATCAATCAAGTTAAAAGATATATAGACTTACTCATTTAATCCACCCATCTCTAACCGCAACCTTCTTATAATATTAGGCTGTATTTCTGAGATCCGTATTAAAGAGGAGGCAACTCCAGGGACCTTGAAAAAACACAATGCTACGCAGAGAATTTTAATATATGTACTATCAAGTAATTTGTTTTAAAGTTGCTTATTACACACACCTAGAACCTTTGCGCAAAACACTATTATGTCTGAATATAGTGCCTTTTGATTCATCTTCTCAATGGCGTATTTAAGAGTTGTATTCAACATATGGCGATATTCTCCAATAAGTGACTTTGATCGCGTATCACAAAACTGGTATTTGGTACCATTTTCAGAAATGGTTGAAACCCACTGATCATACGTGAATGGCTCAGTATGATCTGTAGTAGGTCAATAAATACACATCACAATTATTACCTTAATTAATGTCCACAGTGAATATAGTCTTACCGTAATCAACAAATTCATTTCTAGTACGGAGGTAATTATTACTTTCCATAGCCAGACATAGTTGTACTTTGAGGGGGAGTGATAGAGAAGGAGATTATGCTTACCGAGACATGATTTCCAAAATACATTCATAGTAGATTGTTCGTTCTGTGTAACTGACTTCACTAGCATTTTCTAATAAAATTTTCCACCTGAGAAGTAATTTTTTTTAAAAAAAAAGAAAATCACCAGATTAAAATTAAATAATTAATTATTTGTTTCATCATTGTACTTCTTTATAGCAAGCAAGATCAAGGATCAACAAACCATTTGAGCAAAACCAATCTTCCAGACTGCAATTCTTTGTCCTTTGAAGAGAAGGAACATCTTAGGATTGCATTCGCTTTTTGCTCCCAAAAGCTTAAAGTTGAACCCGTGGTTTCCGTCAGTGGTTTTATTGTATCATATGATGTTTTTTTAAACTTCTTTGAAGGCAAAGGAACGAGATCGTGCTGATGTAGACATGGTAGTAGGTGCTTCTTTACCGTTGCCTGACGTTGCCTTGGTTTTTCTTCAAATCTAAATAATAAGAATATTTTCTTTTTTTTTTAAAAAAAAGTGTGTATATATTTCTTTGTTCAGAATAGTTCTGTAATACACAAAATTGTAAACTAAAATAAAATGAAATAAAAACAAAAGCAATGAAATTATTACTTCACCAATGCCTTTCGCATAGTCGAGTATTCAGAAGATCGCACTGGTTTTTGCCGAAGAAAGCATTTTTCAAATGGTTGTGATGGCACGCAAATGGTGACAGAGGATGATGATCTGGTTGAATCTGTAACACTAGCGTTACAAATAATAGTCATCTCGGAGGAGTCGTGTAAAATATTTTTTAAAATTGTCTGATGGTTAAAGGTCTCTAAAGTGCATTCGCATTCGAGGCTGAACCATTACTAGGTGAGTGAGGAATGGTGGACTTTCTTAATCTGTTCCCCGTCACTGTCATGGCAACGACATGATGTTGCACAAGCAGGGGCAGCAGGCGCATTAAGCGGAATCTGATTTACACAAGGCTAAAATAAATCACCACGATTTTTTTTTTACAATTTAAGATGAAGAATACCCTATTGAGACTTGGGTGGACACCAGGTGCCATACAAAGTGGCCATTTCCAATTTGGTTTTAGTGATGTAGCATTTTTACTCAATTACATAGCAGCCCTAAATACCCTACACACCAGAAGACTTGAAGCTGAAATAATTCTAGCTATTCTATAACCTCTTCAACTTTATAAATAACGTTGCCTTTAATGAACAATACAAAAAAGTATCTTATTGAAGCTCTGTCGCTAAATGAAAATGGCGACAGAGATATTTGCTATTGTGTGTAGCTGCTTTATTATGAGTACGATTAGAGGGGGTATTTGCTGGCTAGAGTGGGTTTGTTGGGTGATTTAGGGTTACGTTACAGGAGTGGTCAACCGTTAGACAGGAGTGAGAGCGTGTCATAAAATAGTACAAGAGAAATAAAGGAATAGAGGATAGAGAAAGGGAAATGGAGAAATGTGACAAAGGGAAATAATATAAAGAATTAGCGGCCAAAAGATGACGACTAGTTCCAAAGCAGCCATCTTGACACTACTTTGTTAATTGCGTGCGTGTGATTGTAAATGTGAAGATATGTTTTTTTTAATGAATAGTACACCTTCATCATATACACAGCAGCAACAGCAGCAGCAGCACCTAAGCCTTATCAGCATAATTTTGACCATCAGCTTCAGAAATTGGATCGACATCCTCCTTTTTGAAGCCTCTGATTAACGTTTGATGACTCTCTGCTAGTTGGGCCTCTAACGCAAGAACTCGTTCTCTGGTCTGTCTTGCTTTGAGTTCGGCAGCATTGCGTTTGCTTTCCATGATCGCCTCCTGTAGCTTTAATTGCTGGTTGTTGAACTCCAATTCTTTGACTTTAGCTTCAAGTGTGTCCATCTTCTGCATTTTACGTAATCGCGACCTGCGAGCAGCATCAGTATTCCTCTGGCGCTTTAATAAAGCGGTACCACGATTATCGTCTGAACCATCGGAATTCTTTAAGCTTGGGGAGCTTCGCGATCTCTTGGTTAATGAAGTTGTGATACTTGTGTTACTGCCAATTGATTTTCTTTGGTCTGAATTACGCTGTAGTTGACCTATGAAGGATAATGCCCTCATAAGAGGAAGTAGGTCTGGACGAAGCGCAAGAAGTTTGCGTTTGGCGTCAAGACTACCAAGAGACTGAAGGTTGTCAATTTTGGCGGGGGTGGCGGGGGTGGTGTTCTCTGTCTTGATGTTTTTATGGGTATTGTCTTCTTTGACTGAAGTACAAACAGAGTTGTCATATGTATCTTCCTTTTTGATGCAAGTGTCTGCACTGCACTGGTTGTCTTGAAGTGTTCTGGATATAATGCCAGATTGGTGTAAATCGTTCTCTAGCCATTCATCTAACGCACGAGAGTCAAGTCCCCAGGTCTGTGTAGTTGCAAGCTTTCGCTGGATTTCTTTAAAGAGTAGTGTGGTCATAGATAAAAAAAAACAATATATATATATGTTACAGGAAAAAAAAATGAATAGACCTACAATTGATATTTAACACAGAGAAGTTAAGTGTTGGTCGGGACTGCGATCATTTGCACTAGATAATCACCTGGTTTTCAAATCGTTTGATTGGCTGTAATGATGACAAGTTCTGCTTCTACAATCAGTCTGAGTCAATGATTGGCCACCTCGACTTGTCCCAATAAGCCCAAAGGGATTTGGTTGACTCTTCTTTTATCACTCTTTAGCACGTTTGCTTGCATATTAGATTTTCTGATCTTTTTTTTTTTTTTAAAAAAAAAGCGATCTGTGATAAACTATATATATGTTATTTAAATCGCATACTTTGATAAGCTTATATTACTTTTTTAAAATTATGCGTAATATGCTTTATTAGATTCCTTTTCACTTGATATTATTAGTGATCTTGTCTCGTCTAAATACACAGATAAGATGTAGATAAGGGTTGGTTTATAAAGTAGAGATATAGGTGATGCAGCTTTACAGATTAAGTGGTTCCTCAAGAAACCCAAAATAAAATAAATATATAAATATGGAAATATTGAAATAGAGAATAAAATAAAATAAAATAATAATATAATGGTAAAGCCAACATCTTCTGATGGCCATATGTTTTATGCTTTTATGTCTGTTAACGTCCCCCTTTTTTCACTCAATTGTCCATACATCAGTCTTTGAGACCCGTCTGTTATCATTGTTGAGTAATGCGTTTTTGGAGTGGGGTTGGAAAGATGTGTCGAGTTCAAATTCTTCAGAGCCTTGATCGATAGGCAAGTCGTGTGTCGTGTTTCCATCAACATTCTTCCGAGATTTTTTTTCTTGGGAATCAAAAATCAAGATGTCTTTATGCCAGTTCATAGCACACTTGACGGCCACACTTATTGTGACTAAACAGAGGACTGCCGCAATAGTAGTCGTGAACACCAAGAAGTGCCGTGTGAACTGATACGGATCATTACCATCCCCACGAGGTTTGGCAATCTTTACCAAGCTATAGATAAAGTATACCTCTGAAAGAAGTCCGCAAACCAAGAACGCTCCCATCAGGTACTTGTTTTCCCGGTATACGGCGACTAGCGCAAGACAAAGGATGGCTGCACCAAGCACAAACACCAAGATTGTCTCTGTGATTGTTTCTTCATACTGGAGTTTCTGGGAGGGAATAAGCTGAGCGCCAAAGGAAAACACAAAATAGAAATCGAGCTTCAAGAGTGTAACAAGGATGCTGGTAGTAATCAAAGCGCTACGCACTCTAATCAAATAAAATGTAAAATAAAAAGCGCAGCGTTAATAAATTTATCTATTTATTTATTCAAATCAAATCAAAGCTCTTTACCTCATATCAGCCGAAAAATTGCGATAGTTGTCCCAGGCAAACTGCTTACGGATTTTCCATGCAAAGAAGGCGAGGGCAAAGAAAAAGGCAGGAATAAGTCCAATGATGCTGTATTCTATAGGTCGCATTTTCTTTTCAAAATATCCAATAGCAGCCTCTTGCCCGTTTTCAGACTTTTCCCATTCGGAACCGATTGGAGACCAGGCTTCACTTGATCCACTGGAACAAAAAATTATACTTATAAGTACTTGGTTTCAGATAGGGGTATCAAGAAACATTTACCAGCCAATTTGCTCCAAAATAAGATGCTGCTGAAGTTGAATGCCACCATAACTAAAAAAGGACCAAGCCGTGTCAGAATAAGCGTGTGGTGAATGCACATATTTACATATGTAGATCGTATACATATATACATATATATGTATGTATGTATTTGTATATAACTTACACTATTATTAAAGAGTAACAATAATAAAATTAGTAAGAATATTTAATATTTAATATAAATATGCCAGTAAGTTCTATTGCTTACCAACAACTAATAGTCCAAACAAGATGAGAGATATCAACTGGGCTATACAAAAATAATCCACAAAATCGTAAATATACACATACACACAAGAATTGTATAGCTATTTACCTGTATTCTTTTGGTAGAGTGCGTCTATGCATAGAATAACCTGGAATGCCTGACCGATAATAAAAAGACTGTGATAGATTAGATCTGATTCACTGACACCTGTATGATTTTTTTTGTTAGTTGGTAATTTAAGTATATATGTAGTTAATATGTCTACCTTGACCGTTCATATCCATTTGACAATTGGAAACCATCTTGAGATGCCAGCTGACTACCATTCCCTCTAGAATACATATGATAATACATTCGGCTACCACAAGGGATAATGTAATGATCGTCTCTTTTGTGGCAAACAGTGGATTCTTCCTCTCAGAGCTTCGCATTTTTTTGAAAAAGAAAAGAGACAAAGAGTCAAAATAAAAGGAAAAAAAAGAAAAGGAACTCTATTTATCATTCTTTACTGCATCAAATCCTGTATTATATGTTATAAAGATTTCCTATTTGGCTATTAGAGGTGTAGTATGTAATAGACTTGCCAAAAATACAACGAGGCTGAGAATATTGTACTTTGATGAGAAGTACAAACACGTTACACATTCTAGTCTCTTTGTATTTTTCAAACACACATACAAAAGACAGAAAAGAAGATGTGTTGTTGAAGAATTTGATCCGTCCAATTGTGTTTTTATTCATCTGCTTTGTTCGACAATATCAAGGTTGCATTAAGTAATTCTTTTGAATTCAAGGACATAAAATCCAATGTATGCTACATTGTCAGCATAAGAAAAACAAACAAAAAAGAAGTCTCTACCAGATCAAAGCTTGAAAAGGCAAGACATGTATCCGAAAGCATTTTAGGAAAAAGACTATACTGGTGACTTTCTTATTTATTACTGTTTATTATTAACATTTTTCTGTTGACCCGAATATCGACGATATGGATGTAACATAACACAGACTGCCATGGAAAAATATTGAGAGTAAGCATTTCTTTTGTCTTGAAGATATTTCTATATATAAAAGCACTATGGAGATCCCAATCCAAATTGAACAGTGTATAGTTCTTCTTTATATAGATATGTTATAAGACCAGATTATAAGAAGCAAATTAGTTAGTTATCTAGAACCTTCAATACTAGTAATTTTACAGCCATAATTAAACCCCAATAGACTTACAAAATATACACTATTTAATTAGGAGATATATCAACTGTGTGTCGCGTACCATTTTGTAAAGATGTACACAAACTGCTTCTTGATACGATTTGAGTTTAGGGTATACGATCGTTATATTATACAACGCGTACTTTGGACACTTTATTAGACTTTATTTTTATCGGTAGGGGTTGCTTCCGAACTCGTGTCTTGGCCACAATGGGATAATTCCGTCAATACCCCCTCCCCTGTCTTCTTTCCGTGCATTTACTTAAAAATAATCATTTTAAAGACTCATATTGGATTTGCTCAAAACTAGCAAACGTGAAGTACTTTGTAACTCCTTTTAATTCTATTAAAATCCTTTTTTTTTGGTATGGAACTTTGTGTTGGATTTTCTGTCGTATGTATTACGTTATACGACATTGTTATTCATGTTTTATTCAACATTTTACCTCTTTGTTTTTATATAGAGCTGCTAATTAGCCAGTTCTGTATCAGATTATAGATATATGTTCAAGAAGTTGATTTATACAAAGCAAAATATGAGTCTATATGATGATCGAAGGCGTCAATAGTAGTAGTATCTCGGATTTTGATAATGATAGGCCTGGATTTTTATTTCTGAACGTGTGGGTGATACAGGAAGAGGAGTTGAGCTATCCAATTCCAGCGGAGTATGCACCAATGGCCTGGATACAATAAGAGAACTCACTTGGTATTAAATTGTTCGAACAAAGGGCCATCAAACAGCCCATTGAAAGATAAAACAGCAAAATTGCTTTATTGATAATACTATCGGGGATCTAGTATTCACTATTCCAACATAATTGTTGCTTTAAAAAGTACCTACTATTGAGATTAACTTACATCAAGCAAAATAAAAGGTTCCAAAATAAAATAAAGTATCGTCTACAATTGAAATCTAAACGCTAAATTAGAGTTGATTTGCTAGTTGAGATTATTGTTACTAGGATTTCATATATCTCTAAATTAATACATATACATCCCATATACACATACATTTGACTAGATACTAGTATGCTTTATGCGTTATGCCCAAATTACTACATAATATCAACAGGACAAAGGTAATACTAAATATTGAATTATATGAGCAGAGACTGTATCTTATTTGTAAAGCAGTACTTTATTATTATACATAGTATATTTAATCAGTAAGTGCTGTCAGGTTATTCTTCGCTCAAGCAAGCAAATAAATAAATGCATGAAAATGTATTACACGTTTGACTAGCAGTTTTATTCAATCTGACGTAAACAGGTAGTTAAATCAACAAGAAACAGTCACGAGGCATTATATACATTTTATTATACATAATTATATCTTGTATCTTGTATATGTATATATATTTAATGAACATTCACAGAATAAAAGATGATATTTACCAGAGATTTTACTATTATCTTTTTTTATCTGAAAGAAAAACTCCAAGGATAAGTTATATTACTACATAAAGTATCTTGTTGAGAGATTTAGCTTTAGCTTGTTCCTGGCAAGATTTTGGTACTTTAGAATATGGAGCCTTTAACCAGTCAAGCCAAAAACCAAAAAGGATAAAGAGAAAACAATGAGCATGACAGCTATTGAGCAGCAGACTATTAAACTTAGTAAGTATTAAAAGGTAAAGCAGCTCTAGGTCTTCACCAAGCCTCATTGATGCTCAGTATATATATATATAAATAATTAAGAAAATAGAATACACTAGAATTTTATTTACCTATATAGGACAGCTCCATATAGGCTTATAGACCCCATTACATTGATGTCATAAACACACTGTTTAGACTAATAGCAATATATCAAACTTGACAAAACTAAGCCTCTCAGTACACAGTGTCTACAAGTAGAAGATATACATACTAATGTTGCTTCCTATGTTTCCACAATTTTCAACTATTTTACTACAGGCATGTGTTATATACACTCAATTATTTATAGAATATGTATACATAAGCTTTTTATAGAGACAAGTGTATCATATCAGCGTACTTTGTAAATCAGGGACTCCCACTACCAAACACACAATTATTTCAACTTGTAGATCAAACAAATTGAACATTAACTCTCGAAGCTATCAAAACGGTGTCAACCTTTATAAATGAATCAAATAAAGGTAGAGAAGCTCTGGAGACTTTTACAAAACATAAAGCCAGATTGGTACTTACATGTGATTTTTTTTATATAGCTGTGAAAACACACCTATATATATATTAATGAACACATTTTACATACACTACGAGAAAATTACACCTTTTAATCAGCAATGTCGTACACACCTTTTTGGATATGTATATATATCGTGTAAGGTTGCTATAAAAAAAGCAAAAATCAGTGTACAATGGTCTATCAACGTCTGGGAACCTAATCCATTTCCCATGGACAGTACTTAATTGAACAAACAGATCAAAGTTCAATATCAACGTAAATCAGTTTAATTATATATATATGTATAAATCTTAAAAAGAAAAATAAGAAGAAAAACCGCCAATAATTGCCCATATTTTTGAGCATGGTAAACACAAAAGGAGATATTGGTAACTAAACTCTTGTGTTTTGTAAGAGAATAATGGATCCAATACAGATCAAAAGCAAAAATTTCCATAATTAAAATAAGAGAAAACTATGTGGAAACATTGTAGTTGTACTTGTGATTCATGTATACATACATGCATAATTTTAAGGTGTAAAATAAGTGTACCCAGAGCTAAACAAGGAAAGGTCTGTATTTACGATTCATTGGATAAAAGAAAAGAAAAGATTCTAGAAAGTCTGACATCCGGTGAATCGGCAAACAACTTGAGTTCCCTTCTTAGCTATCAGTTTCATTCACCGAGTTTGTCTACACATGTACTCTACAAATCAAAGGCTGTATTATTTTTCTCTCTCTTTACTTTCTCAAATACACACACACACACACACATATATATATATATATTGTTGCTTACTTGTTTGTACTACGCACAGAATACTAGTGATTACTGTACACTATACGTCAAGATTACATAGAGTGTTAACAAGGCAAACATTGTCCATCGAAAACTTTGGTAGCTTATTGGTCAAAAGTCGAAAAGCATACTGGAAATTGAATAATGAATAGCGAACTATGATTAACCAACGGTTCGGTTCGGAGAAAAAACGATACTTCAGAACATGGCCATTTACACAAATATAATTCATATAAATGTACAGACTCCAAGAAATCTTGTAGTGATAAACTTACACTATTAAATAAATAATAAAGCTAAAGAATATCTCCCAGTAAAGCAAAATTAGTTAGGTATATAGATTGTTGTCTTTTTTGTTACTGTTAAATATTTTATCATAATTATTATGCTTGTATTATATATGTAAGCTACAAAATAATTTACCCTATAATGTGCTAGACCATCTCAACTAAAATGTATTGAATTTTATTGCGCTCGCAAATATATATATAAATGTTAAAATATCCTGGCAAGTTCTCTCGGGCTTATACGCTAGAAACATTGTAGAAAATCACTAAAGATAAAATAATGGTAGAATATAGAATATAAAAGCCTTTGAATCCAAAACTCTGCCTACATAAAAAGTTTCTTTTTTCTTTCTTAGTTTCTAGATCCTAAGGTCCCTGTCCAACCTTTTACAAGCCATTAAAAATACACAAATAATTGAAAATAAACCTTTGAAAAGACCATGCTGTAACTATTAATCGCCACAACGTATCATAACCAGACCTTGGTTTCTTGGCTTTTACTTCTAAAGAGTCCATTGGAATTTTTAATATGTCAGAGCCTATAGTTTAATTGATAGCCACTCTTATCCTTGTCAGAATTAGCCTAAGAAAAGTTGAGCTTTACATACGCTCAGCATCATGGATTCCAAATAGAATTCAGCCATAATAATTATATATATACCATGCTTGATGCCCTAGACCGTGTGTATTGTGGAAAAGTCACTGGACTATTATAATGGCAATAAAATACAAGTTCAATGGTCATGTTGATTAGGCTTGTGTATTATTCACGCAAGTATTTGGAAAATACACTGTCTTACACTCACACAGTACAAGTTACACACATTTCTTAAAAAAGAGAAGCATACACTTATTTAATAAATCAAACACAAGTTTTTATTAATCAAGAACTATATATTCCTCCTTATTATATCTCTAAATCGGTTAATTTTCTCCAAAGAAGACTTCCAATAAAAGACAGCCAATTTCTTCTTCTTCTCCCCTTCTCTCGCTTAAATGGACATCTATTTATACTTTTGACCTACAACCAAAAAAAAGTTTTACTAGAATATCAATTGTAGTGGATCGAATTCAGTTTATACCTTGGCATAAATGTCTGCATTCTACAATAGACATCATCATTTTTATTGTAAGTATAGCCACAGTTGCAGTTATACTTGGAGTTGGTATTTTAGGCGTTTCTTCTTCTTCATTCACAACAGTAATAATGATAATGTCATTAAAGTTGCTACGGTATTATACTTATTTTAGATAAAGCAAAAGTCATATATTAAATAAGCACTCCAATAACATTTCTTATTATATACGCTTGGTATATGCTTAATAATTATATATATATTCACACACGCACGAATAAACTTGGCTATAAAAAAAAGAAAACTATCAGAAATAAACAGATCATTCCAGTATATTTTACTCTAAAAATAAGCTACATAACGAATAATGGAAATAGTGAAGGGGGTATCAATCTGCCAAATATATAATTACATTTAAACAAAAAAAATTGACCCATGACAATCAAGTCTCTTAATAAATACCCGCCAAGAGTGCTCCAAAATTTGTACCTCTGGTTAATGGTATAAGCTAATTTGAATGGGAATCTAAATCGAATATATAAAAGCAACACTTTCTTATATATTCTACAGAGAGAGAGAGAGAGAGAGAGAGAGATAAAAACAAGAATTTGATTCATATGAGCAGCAAGATTGCTTACACCCAGTATGATTGATTTGACCAGTTTTTGAAGAACAATTACTGTCAAATAAAATATATTTATTGGTTCAAGTTTAGCATATCAATAATGATATTATAAATTTCTGTCTTTATATTATTTGCTTTCTACTTTCCCTCAGATGCCACTCTTGCCATTTCACCTTCATTGTCATTTTCGGCTTCATAAAGCATCCTTTACAGTTCCTCCACTATCTCCTGGAAATACCGCAGAGAGTATTTTTTTTTTAAAAAGAATATTAAAGACTCCTGCTGTACCTGAACTTACTTCAATTATTACAAGACCATTATCTAGTCATTCTAGCTTTCTATCCTTTATTTCATGGAAACTCTTTGGAGATCTAAAAGAACATACCTCCTCCACTATATATACTCCTTTACTTTTTAATTGTATTATTGAGACGTGAGCATCGAATACAACTATTGGGATGATGGAAAACATAATCCTAAGGACGTTTTCATCGGACAATCTTCCAAAAAAACCGATATATCCACTTTTATGACATTTAGTGACGACTGTTGACTTTAGCTTGCATTTGTAGTATTTGTATACGATACTTTTTTTTTGCTACTTCGTCTGTTCCGCATTTTATTATTTCCGAATCGCTTTTAAACACTACTAATCTAAGGTCAAGCTTAAACCTAAGACCAATATTCTTGCAAGCTTGACTCATAATATCGCCCTTAGATAGATGTCAACAAATTGAGTTTGGGTGAAATATATATATATATATGATTTCTGCTTTAATCGATGTATAATGTATCACTTACCAGTGTAGCATTATATTATGTGATTTCCCAAAGAATGTCTCAAAGATAAAGCTTCAGTCTTTCTTCGGAAAAGGCCCATTTTTTTCTGCATGCATATGTAGACTTGTAGGTCAAATAAAATACACGAAGTAAAAGTTCATTGAGATTACAAGTTAGCCTACAAAAACAGATAAGTTCTGAAAATAATCTTCTCTTCGACATCCTTTCGTTGGTACCTTTCTGCTATTTGCACACCCAAACGAAGCTTTCTCAGAGAAGTAATCTAAGCAGAAATGTAATTCAAGGATATATTGTCACGTCTAATCTTCAACCATAAGATACAAACTTTTCTCAATTGGCTTATAATTTCTTTCAAACATTCCTTGTCTGATCGTTTATTGTCAGAGTCTTTACTTGTGGCCCTTTCGGTTCGTTTGGGATATGCATGATATCATTTTATTAAGACTATATGAAAGAAAAGATATAGTTAGCCAACTAGCGAATTATAATTGATACGTATACAAGCTTAAAGTATTTCTCTTTTCTGCCTTTTTTTTCTTGTGCGATTCCTCACTTTTGTTGTCAATCTAAAAAATTTCAAATGCAATTTAGCTTCATTGTTTCTTTAGATTGAGATGCTCAATCTTACTTTTCATCTCAAGTTTCTAACCCTGCCATTACACGTTTTCTATAAGTCATTATTTTTGCCAAGGGTTTCTCAAACACAGGCCAAAGCCCTAAATGCTAGCAAGGATTTTCCAAATACGGTTTAACGGTTTCCTTGAACTAATGTTTTTCTAAGCTGAGCTGCTAATGGTTTGGCAGTTTATCTATAAAAAAGAAACACCAATTTGTGAATCCTATCATTGTAGAAGCGCAAAGAAAATCAAAGAGCTGAATAAACCAAGCGCCAAGTCTTCAGTCCAAGGTGCATAATTTTAATTTATTTTATTTAGGATGTCCCGTTCCTACTTTTATCTTCTTCTATTAAAGAAACCAATACGTCACGCTTGTTTTTGTAAGATTAAAATTAGTATGATATTTTGGGCCCGGAAGTTGTCTTTGATTGGCTATACTACGATCCATGTTGTAGTAACATGTTCACAGCAAGGTACATACACGCAAGAAAGTATTTTTATTCAAGATGCTTTTGAAGTTAATTATGATCATTATCATGAGTGAGTGTTTTTTTTTTCAGAGAAAGTGACTAGGTGAATTTATTAAGTTTGAAATGATATAGGTGAAAAGTAATTTGGGTCAGGGCATCCTCCATTGAACTATAAATTTTGACCCTTTGTCTTTTTCTTTTGCTTTTAGCACAATGACAGGTCTCTTTGTTTATAAAGATAGGCAAGAAAACTATGCATAATTAACAAAGTCAACCGTACTGACTGCCGTATAATATATTCTTTTGGTAGCAATAAATTGACCAGAATATTGAAGAAATAATATCCTTCTTTCCTGTATATCTATCTATCTATCTATCTATCTATCTATCTATCTATCTATCTATCTATCTATATATGTATAAATAGATATATAGATATATAGATATATAGATAAAAGATATATTAATAATAATATGTTGAATACTTGCTTTTTACTGCAATTGTGTTCGGCGATAAATGGTTTCCTAGGGAAAATAACGAATGTTGTTACGTTACTGTATTTATTTATTAGAAATATAGATTCCCGTTATGATCTTCAAATTTTCAAAGCACCAAGTAAAGAACGGTGTTTGCAAAGAAAAAAAAACAAAGCACTATAGTGCCAGAAAGAAGAGATCAATGGTATACTATAGTATACCATTAAAGGCATAGAGTTGCCAGAAGTGAAGAGTGTCTATTATACTTCAGATACAAAACAGACAGTAGAAAAGCACCCGGAAAACTAATGCTTTTGTGATACACTAAGTGTTGTGTTTAGATCAGACATTTGTAGACAAAATGCTTTCCTTTTTATATAAATTAATTGAAATAAACTTTTGTGTCTGTGAATTCTTGCTATTATTATTTTGTCTTTATGAATTTTATGTTCAAAGTGTTTGCTGACTAGATTTTGGAATCGGCTGTGATATGAGAATCCTTTCTTTGTCAAAGTACGGCTGGCTCGCTTTTTCTGCTACTGAAGACATATTAAAAATAAGAGTAGAGGTAGAGGTAAAGGTAGTAAGTGAGTAGTCAGTAGTTACCGTGAGACGAGGGGATGTCTATACTCTCGGTCAGCTTATGATCAATTTGTCAAATGTTGGGTGCTTTGTGTGAGCCTTTTTTTTTGGTGGGTAAAAGAATGTCATGAATAAATTTTTGTTAGGCAAAGTAGACCAGAATATGCTATTGTGTTTGTAGACAATGCGGGATGAAAACCATAGTCTTCCGAGAAGGTATGGACGGTTATCATATGGGCCTCCACTTAATACTTAATGATCCTTGTGTAAAATACATGAAGAAATACAACTCTTCAGAAAGCTTTCTTTTTTTCTTTTTTTACTCATCCACACCAATAATCACTGATAATTATCTGCCTTCAATGTAACACACGTTGTGCTCGATTAAATAATTTTGTGCCTCATTCTGGACAAATGATATTCTCTCAATCTAGCCAATAGATTCTACGCAGCAATTTATGAGTGCATTTCAGCTTTTTATATATATATCTTTCTAGCTCCTGATTGCCCTGCCTCTAACACACATTTTTCCCAGGGACAAAAGCTCAACATTAACTTGTTAATATATGCACGTGTAATTCATATTCATAAGTGAATATAGACAAGTTATCTGAATCACTTCTTCACAAAGAACCTTTTTGTATTCATAAAATTCACCGTGGCCATCATACTGGCCCATTGACCTCAAGAGAAAATAACAGAGAAAGAAAGGTGGGCTGTCTCTATTACTCTACCAACAGGTTTGGTCGATTGCGGGGTAATGGGGTATGTTTGAAATTTTATTTTCTTGTGGCGAGTTTCTGTGGATGGGTACACAAAACAAAAAGGAAAATGTAAAAGGAGATGTAGATTAAATTCGACTATTTTTCATGGCAATCATTTCCAAAACCAGTATCACTACATTCTTTTTACGTTTAATTTTGTGTACTACAAAACGCGTCGCGCCTGACTATCTTAATAAATATACACTATGAAGACTCATTCATTACTGAGAGCAGGATAATATGATGTACAAAACACACACACAGTCTATTTAAGAAACGATATATATATATATATTAAAAGAAAAATTACAAGCATACCATTGGGCGTACATGAGCTGATTGATTCGCTTTTTCCTTTGAAATCATAAAAGGAAATCCCAAAGGGTCTCTGTTTAAAACTATACTGTTTTTAGTTAAAAAAAAAAACTACAACCTAAGACGCACAAGAGTAATAGAAGCTTTAGCTCTACCACTTAAAGCTCCAAAAATTCTATAGATGGAACAGGTTGAACTAATAAAGCCAAAATGATACAGTAGAAATGAAGATTGACAAGAAGATTACTATACATTCCTTTTTCCTATTCGTCTTAGGTTGTTTTTTTTTTATTCTCTATTCTTTTCTTTGTGTTCTTAAGAAATGGTACACATTGCACGACAAGTGTGCTTTTCACTCTTTGCATAAGTGTATCTAATCTCCTCTTGTTTCTTGTAATAGTTGGTTGAGATATTTTCATTTCTCTGAATAGGCACAGAGCGTACTCTGAATGAACTCGTTGCTTATTTACTCATTCATTTATTTGGTACTGTAAAGTATATATGTATTCTACTAAATAACAGCACCATATTTTATATTCATTTGATTAAAGAAGTGAAATTTAATCCCTGTGCTTTTAGATGAAAGTAAGAAAACATATGTTATAGATTGCTATCAACAAACAGCTCCACAGAAAATTCTTTATTTGAATGATTAGACAGATATAAAAAAAAAGATAGGTAGATAAAATAAATTGGCAAACATTTCGCAAAAAATATATATAAATCTACAGACATATTAATAACAATAGTAGCAGTAGTAATAATTGGAAGGAAATCTCACATTGACTTTGCTTAGTCAAACCGACTGACATTTTCTTTGTCTTTATAGCGGCGATACTGCGATCGATAATCTCTGGTGACTAAAAAAAAAGAGTCATTTCGCTGCCATTCACAGTGGTTTTGACGGATCTATTTTAATTTTTGTCAAAAAAAAAATCAAATAAAATCATCAATTACCCAGATTCCTACTTCTTTAAGCTCTTGCTTATGATAGCAATTTTTTTTTCTTTTGGGTTATTTGTTTGTTAGTACAGATATAATTAGTTACCTGAAATCCTAAACCTTGGAAATAATATTCTTGTGGCGATCCTTGACCCGAGGACCCTATGATTGAATCAGGATTTTCAGCAGTGAAGGTTGCGCATTGACACTTGATCACAAGCTAGATTGCCTATAATTTTATATATAGAAATTCGATACTGTGCTATTGCAATAAATAATAATAAAAAATAATAATGAAAATAACAGCAATTCTCTATATAATAAATGTATTTGGAGCGTACAAAGTGCACAAAAGTGTACACAGTGTACAAAATCTAACTTCAGTGTAACATACAACCAAAGGATCATATTGTCTTTGGTACCTTATTCTCACCCTCTATGCTTCATTTAGCAAAGTCTCTAATATATAGAATTCATATTCACGCTAACAAACCTAACTAATTGTTTTTTCCAACAAACAAACAAAATCCACAAAGTGGGAGTTAAGTAAAGACATCTTGACATATCCAATATGAGAACAAGACTTTAAAACCATCTCCTTTGTCAAGTTAAAGAAGTATAGAAACCCGGTGTGGGTATTTCACATGATGACCGGCTGTTTGAATAAAAAACTACTTTGTACGCTATACATTACATTGAGCAACTAATCTACCCATTGAACAATGTTGAACGAAATATCCGATTTGGATTTATGTGAGCCATAGCCAAAAGAGAGAGAGAAAAAAAAAACAATACTATATAAACCTTCAACATCTCACTTCTTTAACGCTCCATCCTCTTCCACAATTATCAGTGTTTGTTGGCTTACGTCTATCAGCTCGGTCTAATTGCTGTTCCCAACATCCCTATTTCCGTCAGTCTTTACCTAAAAACAAAATATCTATTCAACACATCTCCGCTCTTTTAATACACACCCCATAATCATTAATGCCTGGAAGCATTAATAATGGGCGTCCACTAGCAGTCGACGACCCTAATGAACAGCATTATCAACATGCTATAAATGACCGCGGTATCGAAGAAGGCTATGTCGAGGAGTACGCAGAAAAGCCCCCACTGCCCACTAAAAGAAAATTCTACAAAAAGAAGAAGTTCTGGATCATCTGCCTTTCCGTTGGTCTTGTAATCTTCATTGTTGTCCTACTCTTGATCCTCTTTGTAGCTTTCCCAAAGATCGCACAATCCATCATGAACAAAGCTAACCTTTCCGTCCGTGAAGCAAACATTTCATTCTCCAATCCTCAGACTACCGGTACCATCACAAAGCGTGACGGAGAAATCGATACCAACTCGACCTTCTACATGTCCATGGTCACCGACATGTCCAACACCGGTCCATTCCATGCTGACATCAAGTTCCAAAACCCAATTGAAGTATACTACAACGAAACCATGATTGGTAGCATCACTTTACCCGATTCAAAGATTGCCGGCGGTAAAGGTGTCCTTGAGGCCGTCACTCCTTTCGTCATCGCAGACACCGCATACTTTGCTGCCTTTACCCGTGAGATGCTTGCCAGAGAAAAGTTTACCTGGACTCTCAAAGGAAAGCTTAAGATTACTGCTCTCACAAGGTAAATAGTTGCTACTTTTGCTTGCCTAAATATAACTATATATAATTATTATCAATTACTAATTATTATTTTACTAATCATAGAACTGCTACCATTGACTTGAACAAAGACATTGTTCTGGAGGGCAAGTTTCCTTACCATAATTTGTAGCAGTGTTTTAAGAAATAGCCGGTTAGATTAATGTTTTGACTAACTCTTTTATTTGCTATATAGGTATGAATGGCTTCCCTGAAGTATCCATCAAGACTTTCAACTTGCCCAGCGATTCCCCTACTGGCGGTATCAATGTTGAACTCGGTACTGTCTTGGTCTCTCCTTCTCCAATTGGTGTCCAGCTTGGTACCATCAAGATGTCCATTGCTTACTCTGGCGTTACTATTGGTCAGGTCTCTGCCGAGAACATTGTTCTCGCCAAGGGTGACAATAACATTATGCTCAAGGGTGTCTTGACCCCCCAGAACGATACCGCTAGTCTCGACAAGGTCTCCGAACTTTTCTCGGCTTATATGGCTGGTCGTATCTCTCAGACAAGTGCCGTTGGTATCTCTTGCGCTCCTAATGGTGTTGACCCCGTCGGATGGCTTTCTGAAGGTTTCAAGACCGTCTCCTTGAACGTCGCTCTCGGTTCCAGCGAAGCAATGAAGGTTATACATGGCATCAACATGGGTTATCTCGATCTCGTCTTCAACAAGGATGCACCTTACGCTCCTATCCTTTCTGCTAGCCAGGTCGTTGCCGACTTCTCTATTCCTTTTGGCTTCACTTTGAACATCACCGAAGTTGCCCAGAGCATCAATCTTGGCACCAACGACACCGGTGACTTTGGTAACATTCAGGTTCCCATGTCTCCTTCCATCAGTGACCAGGTCTCTGGAAAGCTTCAGTTCGCCATGATCAACAACACCTTGACTGCCATTGCCGGAAAGGAGACTGCCTTCAACCAGTACACCTACTCTCTGACTTCCTTGAATGACTACACCTTCAATGTCGCCGGTAATGCTACTACCAAGGCCAACACCCCAATTGGTCCCCTTGTCTTGTCTGGTATTGCATTCAATGTCCCAACCACTCTCCACGGTCTCCAGTTCTTGAACAGCTCTGCTACAGTTATCAACAGTCTCGATGTTTCTGGTGGTACCTCCGAGGGTCTTGAGCTTGCTATCAGTGTCACCATGCAGAACCCATCTGACTTTAGCATCTCCACCGGCGATGTTAGCTTCAACATGCTTGCCGACTCTACCAAGATTGGTCTCGTCCAGTTGAACAACCTTGTCTTGCAGCGTGGTGCCAACACTATTGTAGCTACTGCCTCGTTCGATCCCATGAGCAGCGATGTCGGCAAGAACTTGCTCAGCACCTTTGTAATGGGTAAGGACAATGCGGTCAGCATTGGTGGTTATGAAGGCTCTACTGCTATTGCCTCCTTGGCCGATGGTCTCGCCAAAATTAACCTCGACACTACTTTGCCCGGTCTCAACGCTACCTTGATTCAGAGCACTGCCTTGATTGTCTTGCCAGCTTCTCCTTCAAACGGTGTCGTCAACGTCAAGGTCGCTCTTGCCAATCCCTTCACTACCGGTTTGAGCATCACCAAGATCGTGTCTTCTGTCTCCTACCAGGGTATGCCCGTCGGTAACATTGACCAAGATATCAGCAACAATCCATTCATTGTCACCGGAAAGTCGACTGGTATTTCCCCCGAACTTGACATGACCATGAACCTCGAGCCTGCTGTCATTGCTCTCTTGATGCGCCAGCTTGCCGTTGTCGGAAACTTGGATACCCGTCCTCTTGATGCTCTGCTCACTCTTGGTGGTTTCCACATCGAAGGTCAGGAGCAAGTCTCCGCCGACGCCAGCTTGTTCGAGAACTTCAACTTGTCTTCGTTTGTCATGGAAGCCATGAAGAACCTTATTGTCGATATCCAGCTTGACTCTGTCGTCAACATGGGCCAGTACACCACTGCCCTTGCCTTCTCTCAGCCCAATGTTATCACTACTGTTGATGACACCATTGCCATTCTGATTCCCATCGTTGGCCAGCCTATTGTCCAGCAGATTGTCGATGGTGCTGCTCTTGGCTTTGACTCGATTGTCATGTCTGCTCCCACCGATACTGGCTTCAAGGTCCAAATGAAGGGCTCTATCACCGGTACTGGTCCCATGCAGGCCGCTATCTCCTTCCCCGATCCTTTGACCGTTGCCTGGCAGGGGACTGAGATCGGTAAGGTAACCATGGCTGCCATTCTCGCCAAGCCTATGGTCGGAGCTGTATTTGACGTCGCTGGTGAATTCACTATCACAAACACTGAAAACATGGCCAACTTTGCTACTTACATGATCAATGCTGACAGCTTTGTCTGGGATATCTACACCAACAATGTCAATGTCGAGGCTCTCGGCTTCAAGTTCACCGACATCAAGATGGAGAAGTTTGTGACTCTTACCGGTGCCAAGGGCTTCAAGGACTGTGTCACTATTTCCAACTTTACCATGCCTTCTAATGTCGACAATGGTATTGCTCTCGTCATCCAGTCTTCGATCACCAACCCCAGTACCGTTGGCTTTGACTTTAGCTCTGTCTCGTTTGACTCTTACTATGGCTCTACCAAGCTTGGTCCTCTTTCTTCTGATGGTGGTGCTGTCTTCCCATCCCAGGCTAAGGCCGCCATGGTTCTTAAGGGTTACCTTCAGGATCAACACGATAGTCCTTCGGGTCTCAAGGCTGTTAACGAAGTGTTCACAAACTACATCTCTGCCAAGGACTCCATTGTGTCTGTCAAGGGTACCTCTGTATCTGGTCCTAATGGCGAGGTCGGCTGGTTGACTACTGCATTCAAGGCTTTGAACATCGAGAACGTCATCTTGCCCGGTCCCTCAGCCAAGCCCAAGTTGATCACTGCCGTCACAATGAAGAACATGCAGCTCGACTTTACCACCAAGAATCCTTATGCTCCTCCTGCCAGTTCTACCTTGGTTGAAGCTCAGCTCGACAATCCTTTCGGTTTCCCTCTTGGTGTCTCGTCCCTGAACATGAACATCTCTGCTACCTATGGTGGCAACGGTGTCGCTGCCCTCAACATCCCCGACAACAAGGCTACCACTAGTGCTACTGGTGTTGTCTCGACCTCTTTCAGCGATGTTCCTTTCTCAGTCTATGATCCTTCTCGTCCTCTCTTTGATGCCTTTGTCAAGCTTCTTACTGCCGGTCCAGGTGTTGAGTTTGGTCTCGAAGGTCTTGTTAACTCGGTCGCTGTAACCAAGATTGGTGACTTTAACTTGAACAACATTGAACTTGATGTTCCTACATCTCTTGCTGGTAAGATTTTTTTTATTTCTTTTTTAAGTCTTATTATTTACTAACAATTAAATTATTTACATTTTTTTTTTAGGTTTCAGCAACTTTGGTGGCAAGGCTTCAATTCTTAGCTTGACTGTCAGTGGTGGTACCCGCGAGTACATCGAGGTTTCTGTCAAGGTCTCCTTTACCAACCCTTCTGCTATTACTATTACTATTGGTGACATCAACTTTGACACAATTGTAAAGGCCAACGGCGCCAACATCGGTACTGTCTACTTGAAGAATGTCGTGATTGCTCCCGGAGACAACGTCTTTGATTCTATTATGCACATGCACAGTACAAACTTGCCCGCTCTTAGCAGTGTTTTGACCAGCTATCTGACCAACACCCCCGTTCCCTTAACCGTCGCTGGTACCGAAAACTCGACCACTATTGCACCTCTCAAGGGCGCTCTTAGCACCGTTAGTTTGGATACTGTAATGCCCGCTATTCAAGCCGATATGGTTGTCTCTAGTATCGTCAGATCTAACATCGCAGATATCATTGCCAATGTACTTTATACTGATGTTACAATGAAGAATCCTCTTGCTACCGATATTACCATCCTCCAGGTCTACAGCAATATCACATACCTCTATAATCCTAATGGTCCGTTCAAGGTTGGCCACATTGACTACACCCTTCCTACGCCCTTTACTATTCCAGCTGGTGGCCAGGCTACTTCCACAAGATGGCCTATCACAATCGAGGGTGAATTTATCGAGTTGGTTAATATGATGCTTAACCCAGAGAAGTACGTCGAGCTGTCGCAAATTGTCACCTGTATTGTCGGTGGGCCCACTGGTTTCATTGGTCAGATGTTATACCCCCAGGAGCATGTTTACAACGAGATTCACATTGCCGAAATGGAGGCCGTTGGACTTAATGCTGTTCTTGGTAGCATGGGTACCAACACTACTGCTTCTGCTAATGTTTCTTCTTCTGCTGTGCCTGTCGCGTCCAGCGCAAGTGTGCCTGTTGCCTCGTCTACTTCTGAACCTACCAGTGCTGCATCTGCCGATCCTACAAGTGCCGCTGCTGAGCCTACTAGTGCCGCTTCTGCTGAACCTACCAGTGCCGCTGCTGAGCCTACCAGTGCCGATCCCGAGCCTACGAAAGCAGAGGCTACTCCTGCTCCATCCCAGACTGAGGAACCTGCCAAGGCTGTAGAGACAACCGCCCCTGTTGAGCCTACTCCAACTGAAGCTGCCGCTGCTTCTGAGCCATCTGGTGCTGCACCTGCTGCTTAGAGCCTGGAATTTTGCTTAGTTTCTTCCCCCTCTTTCTTTATCTATCTCTCTCATTCTTTTTGCGTATAATACACATCTTTGCATTGCAAAAAAAAACTCCCCACAAAAGAAGTATCCCAAAGAAAGATAGAAAAAGAAAAGAGTTTAAACATCAAACATGTCTTATGTGCTATTAATCCCATACTTCCATCTCATTATTTACTTATTTATTTATTCCATACTATCCTATTCTTACTCCTTATTCTTCTCTATTCTTTGCGATAAAATTTCGCTTGATTTCTCTTACAATCTAACACCAACAAAAAAAAACCAATAATAATATATAATGTAATGATAGGCTTTTTTTTAACCTATATTTTCCCCCTTTATTCTTTATTACTTGAGTGCGTACATAGTGATTTTCTTATTTGATATTATTTTGGTACCCTCATTTCTATACTATATTCCCTTTTCTTTACTATTACTATTGATATTAATATTTATTTACTTATTTTATCTGTCATTCATTTCAGGATTAAATAATAAAAAGAATCCTATTATTTTGCGTTATCTATTATATTTCAAGTATTTGATATACTACTTGTATGTATCCAGCATACAAGAAATATTCGGCTGCTTCTTTAGAAAGAAAGGCAAGCAAGATCAATGCATACTTCTTCTTTTCCAGAAATAATTGACTGCTTCAAGGTGATGACTTGTATCGGTGGTATTGGTAGATCCTAGTGCAGATGAATCAATCTTGCTGTTCTTTGTGGTCGTTGTGGTCGTTGAGCACACTGATCCAGAATCCTCACAGCCCCAAAGATTGGTTAGGTCAGTCATGCCTGTACAGTCCGAAAGGATTTCTTGAATGTCACACTGTGAGAATATTGTGCTCCTACAATCGTTATTCTCAGGTATGGTATGTACTCCAGACCTAATTTCCCAAGGCCTGTCCGAGTAGTACAGAGATTGATCTTGGTCTGCCCCACACTCTGGCCACTTGGTCGGTCTAAAAGATTGGTGCAACTCGGGTGTATTGCAGAAATCAGGTAAAGGTACGGCCTGACACTCATTTAATAGGCGTTCAATAGCTTCTGTAGAACCATCAAAAGTGTGGGAGTCTTCTGACAAAGTGGTCTTTAATGATGATTGGTATACATATTTGTGTATATACATTAAGCAAAATACACAAGGTTTCAAAAGATATACAGATCAATATAGAGTAACCTTTCTTTTTTTGTATTATGTAGAACATTACTTTTTCACACCAAGTATTGGTCTCTGATGACTGATCAGGTTTCTCGTTTGTCCATCGATCTTGTTTCTTGCCAAAAGAGGTGTCTGGAGATTGATACAAAGCACCAATATATCGGTCCTGCAATTCTGGCACAATCTTGGTCGAAATATCCTTTTGATTTTCCTCTTCTTCATCTTCTTCTTCATCATCTTGAATCTGCTTTTGTTGGTATAACTGATGTAGGTGATGGTCTTGTTGATGTCCTTGGTTTTGTGGTTGTCGTATCTTGAACGTGTCACTTTCAACAGACGATTGATCTGATTTGTCTGATCTGGTGCGAAAGAAGCGCGAGACAGTCTCTTGTTGTTGTTGTTGTTGTTGTTGTTGTTGTTGATGAGACTGGGTCATAAAGGAAGATCTATCCTGATCTGAGGCTTCTTCTGAAATTACACTTTGATTGCTCGTGTACCGAACATGATATCTAGGGTGGAGAAACTCATGCTCACTAAACACAAGGTCTGACTCTAGATTGATTAAGTGAATGAATTTGGGTTAGTGCCTTCTTATTGTTCTTTCATGACTTTCATATATTTTGTAAAGTCATATATATTAAAAAGACACATAATAATTTGGTTACTTTTTCTTAATACTCCTTTTGCCGAAGATTTTCCTTTGTTGAACAGCCCAAGTTGTGTATTCTCTTTTGGTTTTTGCTAATATAAAATAAACCATAAAATCATTAGCAGAATGTACCATAGTATTATAAGCACACTTTAATATATTCTAGAACCACATCTTACCGTAATACGAGTAGTCTTTATATTTGACGAAGAGAATGCCTATAGTTTTGGTGTTCGGACGTTTTGATTGAAAAGAGTCAAAGGGTTAATGGCGGCTAGATTTATTGGAATTTTATATGAATCCCATTGCTAGTATGATTCTTATGATTACTTGATCTTACTTGTAACAGACGTAGAGCTGATTCATGTGAAATGCTGTTCTTTGTATTCGTCGGTTTGAATGTACGTTTGACTTTTGGATTGATTTGAGTGACAGTTGGATGTATTTGGTTCTGATTTTGTGTGCCAGTGGCAGTAGTAGTAGCAGTAGTGGTGGTGTCTTTTAGGGGTGTTTCTTTCCCTTTATGCTTATCAACCATGCTAAATTCATCATGTTCCCCTAATTTTCTTGTGTGCTTGAAACGGGTATTGTGGTCTACAAAGCCAATAAAAATAAAATAAAAAAAGGATGCATTTGGCGTGCATTTAAATTCAAGATATAGCATGATCTTTGATTTTCTTACTTACGCCTGTTGAGTGGGATATCAGGCAGGGACATGGCCCTGAAGATGATTCGATTGACAAAGTAAGCAAGAAGAAGGATATAACTAAAATACGCTAATTGAAAAAGAAGCTTACGACAAGGATTTGCCAGATCGCCCTTTGATCCTTGAAGATTGATCCTGAATTTCTTTTTGTTGTTTGATGTACAATCCAGTATTGTATCTCTTAAAAGCTTCCATATTTTCAAAAGCAAGTTTTTCTAAATTGCCTTTTGTGAGACTCATGACAAAGCGAAGAAGAAGTAGGAAGAAGTAAGAAAAGCATATTCAATACACTGAAAATATTCAAGAAAAAGAAAAACGTTCTTTAGGTTTCTATATTCATCTCTATCTTTCCTTTTCACTCTTTGCTCTGACGTATACCCCATATATATATATATATATATTTTAAATTAATAATTGATGATAATGATAATAATAAAACAGACAATTTAGGATAAGAAATTCAGGCACCATATTTTGGTACAAATCCTAATTTGTGGCCTATTTCTCCCAAAAAGTGCCAGGCCAAGATCTTTCCATTGCACCCATTTTCAATGATATCCTTTGTAGTAAACTTTGTAGCATTGTCTCGACGTGTAGATTTATCATGCAGATAAGAACATACAAACCCATGCCTTTTTTTTTAAAGAAAAGAAAAGAAAAGACAAAGCAATTATTACCCAAGCTTTTTAAAATAATAATAACAAAAAACAAACCTTGGTTCAATTGAAACACATCTTCCTTCCTTCTTTACATGACTCTGTTCAGGCACCAAACTATCCCACCAATTCTTGTCTGCCAAAACCGGCTCACTTGCCGATTCATCTCTCGGTGCAACAATCACTTTGAGATAAGTTGGTGTATCAGCCATAAGATCCTTGACTACATCGTTGATTAAAGGCCAGGAGTTGTTTTGTGTGCTGATGTCTACCAGCAATAGATCGACCTTGGGTCCAACTGATGCCAGGATATCAATGATCTCTGCTGATGTGGGAACAGACTTTAGAGCCAAAGAAACAGCAAATCCTAATGATTTGGCCAACTCGACAATTTCTAAAGAACAAGAGAGTATTCCAAACTGCATCTTTCCGAATCTAAACCATTTTATGGAATGATTAGATTGAATTCTCACTTGAATAAAAACACACATATATTCAACCTTTGTACTAATCGCGTCTTCATCTAATAATAAATCAAATGCGGTGAGACAAACCAATAGATAGTATATTTATATTTATATAACAGTAATAAGAAGTACCTGATCAGTATCGATTGAATTGATTCCCAAGAGTTGAATAATGTCCACGTAATGAGTTCTTTCTAAGCTACTTGGATTAGTGTTTTTCTTTTTATTTATTTATGTACATGTTATATATGTATTTCTTTTTGCTTGTACCTTTTCCACCTAGATCTTCCATTATAAGTTGACCAGAGCATCCTCTGGTACAAAGGTCATCGAGTGCTTGTGTAGAGGGTGTTGAATTGGCTTGTGAGTTGCTGTAAAACACAACAGCCTTTTTGGGTGTAGCCATTGAATTATTGGTATTTGTTTGTTATTGTCAAGCGTGACAGAATTTGTCTGCTAACGTATCTTGTAGATATATTTCTGTCTTTGCTTGCCTGCCTGCCTGCCTGCCTGCCTGCCTGCCTGCCTGCTTATTTTTTTCTTTTTTTTCTTTTGCAGAATCGGAGAAATTATTTTATTTACTTAAAAGGGTGTACATTACAATACAGTGTTCGATAGGATATATTTTATATATAAAAGTATTATAATTTATTTATATACTTATTTATTGTTATAATCTATTACATCTTTCTTTACCGTCTATATATTGTACATCTAAAATAAATGAATAAATAAATAAATCAAAACCAAAACAAAACAAATAGGGTTTAGGCAACAATTGATTTTTGTTTTGGAGCCTTGATTTTCTTACTGCATACAGCAGAATTATTATAGGTAAATTTAATTGACTGATGGTTTTAACCCCCTGGTACACTAATAATATAAGCATAAAATATAAAGAAATTTATCAGTAAAAGTTCTAAACGCATTTCTCTCTCTATAGCAAATCCTTACCAACCCACTGACCAACCAATAGTTTTTATTTTGAGTTTTTTTTTTTTTTTTTTTTTTTTTGCCAAGTCCTTCCCAGTCACGTGTTGTACTCTATTTTTTGCCCTCTTTGGGTTCTTATTTAATTCTTTTACCCTTATTTTTTTTTATATATTTTATTGTTTCTTTATTCTTATTCTCCACTCTTAACAACTTACAATGGCTCCCGACCTTAAGAATTACGATGAAGAGCAGGCCCGTCTGATGGAAGAGATGTGCATCATTATTGATAAGGATGATAAACCCATTGGCGCTGATTCCAAAAAGACTTGCAAGTATTCTTTATTTTCTTTTATAATTACCAATGACTAGAAAGAAAGAAAGAACAAGTCATCTAATGAAATTTATAAAATAGGCCATTTGATGGATAATATCAACAACGGACTCTTGCACCGTGCTTTTAGTGTTTTCTTATTTGACTCTCAAAACAGACTGTTGCTCCAGCAGCGTGCTAGTGAGAAGATCACCTTTCCTGATATGTGGACCAATACTTGTTGCTCTCATCCATTGAACACACCCTCAGAGTTGGTCGAGAAGGATCAACTTGGTAAGAACAATTTTTAGTTTAGTTTAGTTTTTTTTTTTTTAAAAAAAAATAAGTAAAATAAAATAATAAATGTATCAAATGTATATATATATAAATCAATAGGTGCCCGTACTGCAGCTCAACGCAAGTTGGATCATGAACTCGGAATTCCTGCTCATCAGGTTCCTCTTGATTCTTTCAAGTACCTGACACGCATTCATTATCTTGCTCCTAGTGATGGACTTTGGGGAGAGCATGAGAGTAAGCATTAAATTTTTATATAGAAGATATTTGAAGTAAACTTGGTTACTAAATGAGTATTAAAAAAACCCCCAATGGTAGTTGATTACATCTTTTTCGTAAAGGCAGATGTCACAGTCAAGCCTAGCCCAAATGAAATCAGAGATATCAAGTATGTCACTCCAGACGAGTTGCGTGCCATGTTTGCTGATCCTAGTAAGTTAATTAATAAATAAATAAATAAATAAAATAGATAAGTAACATAATTTTTGTTGTTCTTAGATGTGCCAATGACCCCCTGGTTCAAGCTCATCTGTAACACATTTTTGTTCGATTGGTGGAAGAAGATTGACACAATTGAAACCGAAAAAGATACCAAGACCATTCACCGCCTTGGCTTCTAAAAGAAAGGAATTAAAATAAAAAGTTGATAGTGCGAGGTGGGGGCGGATCAAAAACCAAAAAAAAAAAGGGAAAAGGAAAAGGAAAAGTAAAGAGGTCTAATGATGATAGGATACCCCTCCCCTTCCTCCCCTCCCCCTCCACCTCCACCTTTAATTTTTTCTTTTTATTATTATTATTATTATTATTATTATTATTACCACAATTACAAGTAACAACCACAAGAAGGATTCAATTTAATTTTGTTTCAATTCAGTTCAATTCAGTTCAATTCAATTCAATTCAATCAAATCCAAATATATGTATCAGTGAGTTAGTCAGTTAGTTAGTTAGTAAATGTGAGATACAAGTAGGAGTAGGATAGAGAGAGAGAGAGGGGGGGCTTTTTTTTCTTCTTCTCTTTTGGTCAATTCCAAATATACTTATTTTATTGGCCAAGGTTTGTTTGGTGGCGTAAATTTCCATATTGATTCAAACACAAAGATATTGCACATATGGATACAACCATAAAGAAATATATATATATATATATAATATAAAATATAATAAAGTGAGATTATATGACATGGAAAACCAATGCTGCCCTGAATGCATGTTGTGGCTTGTCTTTTGGTAGATCTCAAAGAAGGAACGTGCACATTAGATTGGCTTTTTAAAGTATATAGAAATCCCACCACAGCTACCACAACCAACTACCATTATTACCACTATTGCCGCCAGAAAACACCACTATTACTACCTATTATTATTATCTGTATTTCTTGTCCCTCCAATTTGCAGAAACAGTATAGTATAATAAGATTGGCAGTTTTTGTACACCTTGAGAATAATTCTAAAACAGAAGCTTGTACACACACAGAGCCCTTTTTTTGGTTTGTGTGTGTGTGTTGTGTCTAAAGTGTCTAAAGTGTCTAAAGTGCCTACATATGGACTTTCTATCAGTTTTACAGGGCTGCCAGACACCACGTGCCTTGTAGACAAACCTGGCCAGGCAGACAACATAAAATAAACAATACAATACATTATAGTACAAAATGTACGTATATAATGATAATAATGATAAATGGATCAAAGGGGATCATACAATAGGATAGAATACTCAATATAAATACAAATTTGAATAGTCAAAGTCTATATGTCTTGATACCCATCTGGAGCAATATGAACCTTGACCCTGAGTAGAATCACACAAGAAAAGTACAAGTACATGTAGTAGCAATAGCAGTAGTAGCAGTAGCAATAGTACTATTATTCTATACAACCTATATATGTATATATGTATGTATAAATATCTCATAGTTGTACACACTTTGGACATAATATACATACATATAAAATATATATTATTATTATTATTATCTATTTTACTAAGTATTATATATTTTTTCTACTTGGTTTTTATAAACTGTACTTCTTTTCATTCTTCCACTCTTTTTATTTTATATCTTTCTTTACATTATTATCATTTTCTCCCTCTCAAATTACATAATTTTTTTTTAGACTCTTAATGTCAAGTTTGAATGCTGATTCAGTGTCTCATTGGCTTCCTCTGCCGGTCGACACAACATTAGAAGAGGATTCATTCGCAGATCTCATTCGACTCTACGACACTCGAGTATCGAACCTTCGAGGAGAGACTAGTCAAAGGGTAAGTTTTCTCTATTTGTTTGTATTTAAAATAATAAAAATAAAAATAAAAATAAAAAATAAAAAATAAAAAATAAAAAATAAAAAATAAAAAATAAAAAATAAAAAATAAAAATTAAAAGGGAAGGAGATAGGATTATCAAAAGAGATAGAATATGCGTGCAGTAAAAGAAGAATTGCATGTAAAAACACCTCAAAAGGAAATTTGACAAGGACGCGTCTAACGTGCAATTTCTTTGGGTTTGATTAACAGACAAGTCATTTCGACGAAGCACTTCGTATCAGACAAGCACTGGCAAACGAAGTGCTGGCGAAGCACTCTAGTAGCAATCCAGAGGCCGACGCTTCAGACCTGTCAGGGAATCCAACTGCGAATGTAAACGTGAGAGTGCCTCCCGTACTACTGTCGAATGATTCGGCATCAGTTGAGCGGAGATCGACGGCCAATCTATTACGTAGATCCTCCAGCTATTTCTTATCCAAGCTTGATTTCCTAAATCCTTATAATCATCACCAAACCAACAACAACAACAGCAACAACAGCAGCAGCAGTCGAAGCAGCAAAACCAGCAGCAATAATAACGATAGAAGTTCAAGTCAAAATGGACAAAGACAAATAGAGCCAAAAACTAATCAAATCAATAATAATAATAATAATAATAATAATAATAATAATAATACCGCCGCCGCCAATGCTACCACTACCACTACCACTACTACTATTACAACTACTATTAATACATCACCAGAATCAGCAACTGCACCAGCACCAGCACCAGTAACAGCAAAAGCATCAGCATCAGCATCAGAACTAGCATCAACATCAGCATCAGCAAAAGTACCAGCACCAGTACCAGTACCAGCACCAGTACCAATAGCAATACCAATAACTACAGCACATGTATCTGTACCTGTACCTGTACCTGCGCCTGCACCTACAGCAACCGAGGCTGTCCGAAGTCTGGGATTACTTTCACCGAGAGAACATAATACTAATAATCAGAGCATTAATCTCAATCAAAGACAGACTGGCATTTCGTCACCCTCGGCATCATCTGGTTCTTCGCCTTTACCGGCCATAATTGCCATCAATACGACAATTAGCTATCCACAAGTACCAATCAACCCTCATTACCCCACAGTCCCACCCGTAATTACTCAATACCCACCAAAGCCACTCCAATACTCGCCTGTCGAACCCCTTGAAAACAGCTCACCTCAGGATGACGGTCAGGGGCTCAGGAAGCGAGCGATTCACCGGATCTCCCTTCCATTCCTCCGCCTTCAAGCGACGGAACGAGAGCACAGACGACGGTCTGAATCCGACCTTTCGCAACACAGGTTCGGGCCGATTGGAAAAAAGGCCAAACGCCTCACTCAGTGGCTAGTCTGTAGTCCGTCAAAGAAGTCTAGAAACAAGCAAAGCGTATCCGTCTAAAATCGATCATCATTTCACACCTCGAAATCCGGCTGGTTCGGTTGAGAGAAGGAAAAAAATATATAATTCAAACGAAAGAAAGCACAAAGACCTATCTTTATTTTAACTATTACTATTATCTAACTTCATTTAATTTAATTTAATTTATTACTATCATCATCACTCTTCTTTCTCTTCTTTCTCTCTTTACCTTACACCCATTATATGCACTGATCCTTTTTTTTTTATCATCATCTTACTTCCTTACGCTTCCTATTTTGTTAATACGCACTTCTTTTCTCCTTACTCTCTAAACCTATATGCCTACACTTCCTCTTCTTCTTTTTTTTTTATATATCCTGTACCAATCTTATATCCTTTTCTTTTTCTTTCTTTAATCAAATAACACTACTTGTAATATTTCACTATCATTATATATATAGTCAATATAAAGTTTTGACTTTGCTTGTCATCCATAAACCTTGTAACCCTTTGTAGTAACATGGCTTATAATTTTCCTCGCGGACCAAAACGGATCACTATACTAACACTAATTAATTATATTGTATATATATATTTATTGTTCTCTGTGTACCAAAAAAAAAAATCAAATTTTACGAGCTATTTATACATCGGCTATTTTGACCCGTTCCAAGAATCATCATCGTTACCACTATACAAAATATTACTATTGACTTGCTTTTCCCTCTTATATGTATAGGGTGTACACAATACTAACAAACGGATTTTGTATTCCCCACCACCACCACCATCATCATCATTTGTCTTTACCTATCTCTTTTGATATATATTTATTCTTGTTATTTCGGACACCTTCCAGATGCTCTCTTTTTCTCTTAATTCTTTTGGATACCAGTCTAAATCTATTACATCTCTTGGTCAACCCTTTATTTTTTTTTTATTCTCAAAAAAGAAGAATAATGTATATACAGTTGGTGTGGTCAGATCGAGAAAAAAATATATAAGAGAGAGAGAGGAAACAAAGGCTAGAATGAGTTTATCCAATAAAATCCATTTCCATCTGTCCGCACCGATTTTTTGGATCTTTTTTTTTTTTTTTTTTTTTTTTTTTGAAGGAAAAAGAAAACTTTAAAAAAAAAATTCTGGTCTTTGTTTTATGTTTAATGAATCTCCTTTTTATTTTTATTTTTTTGCTTCTTCATCTCACCTTGCTCTTCTTCTTTCTTCTTCCTTCTTTTGCACTGAATATTTTTTGATACTAATGACGTCCACCAGTCAAAAACAAAATAAAAAACTGGTGCTCATAGTGAGAATAATCGATTATATTATATATATAATAGTAATAATAATGCTAATACTTTGTTGATGGTTTTGTTGAAAGATATCTTTTGGTTTAATAAAGAGTGTTGCTTTTAGAAATTTGCTATCAAAAGATTGCTACAACTCAATACACACACATATATTATCTCTCTTTCTACTATATCGAACTTTGGCTATAATACATCGGGCTAGAAGCGGGCTAGTGGTCCGGGTTACGAAGAAGGCTAATGTTTCGGGAATGAACCGGGCCTAATGAACCGGGTTTAATTTGTTGTTGTGTTTTTATTAAACTCGGTTCACACCACCCTTTATTGCCCACTCAGTATCTCTCTCCGTTTCTTTTTTATTTTATTTTTTGAATAACCAAATACAAGATGAGATAACTCAATATCTATATTCGTATATCTAAAAAAAAAGTATCGTTCAAGCAAGTTAATCGAATGTCTTTTGCTGTTGTTCTTTGGTCGGACGTTCACTCCGTTACCATCTTCAATGTCTATATTTGTACCTGTACTATTGAACAAATTAATCGATCATTTTTTCCTTTTCTTTTTTTCTTTTTTTTTTTTTTTGTTCTTTCGGACATTCACTCCGTAAACACCTATAAAATTGTTCAAATTTGAACCATCCAACAACTCTCTCTAACAACAATAAATAACAATAATTTATTATACAATATAAATATAATATACCACCATGGCAGACTTGGCACAAATCGGTCTGTCAATCGTAATGGTCCTTGGGCCAGTCATTGGCTATGTTGACCAAGTAATTAAGAACAACATATAAAGTCATTTTGCAGATTTGTACATTCATTAACTTCATTTCATTCTCTCATGTGATTTCTTAATTAATAGTATTTCATCATCAAAAGAAAAAAATCAAGTGCAGGATTCAATTCCTTGACATGTGGAATCCTCTTATTTGCAAAGTAAGTTTATAAATATAAATTTATATGCACAACATAACATGTATGTAAAATATTAACCAAATATACCCTTACATATCTTTATTCAATTTTTTTTTTTTTTAGTATTTTGCGAGTATACTTTTGGCAAGTAAAATACAAGCACAGATACTAACAATAGCTTACATTCATATGTATACATGCCAACATTTATGTGCCTTGATAATAATACCCTTGGTGTTTTGTAGGATTGGAAAACGATTCGATACGACCTTACTTGTCCAATCGCTCGTAATGATTGCCGCCCAACTTATTTTGCTCGAAATTGTAGTACGATACAACCAACCATCACACCAAGCCACTCGCTATGACAGCATTAGTTCCACACCCACCACCAGCACCTCTAGTATCTCTAGTGCTAATTATAGTAATGATAATAATGAAGATGATGCTTCTACCAGCCAGGAAAACCCTGCCGTTGGCTTTAATTTCCTGCCACAGACCTTCTGGGCATGGAACCACTACCTGTCTTACATAAACTGTATCCTCTGTTTCACAACCGTAGTCGGCGTGCTGTTTATCCTGCTCAGTCGATATTCTAGCTTTGTCGAAACTATTGGTGTCATCAGTCTCGGAATCGAAAGCACTTTGCCACTACCCCAGTGTATTTCCAATTGGAAACGACGATCCACTTTTGGATTTAGCCTGCTTGTGATCGGAACTTGGGTAATGGTTTATATCTTAGTATCATTTCCCTTCTTTTTTTTTTAAAAAAAAAAGATCTTTCAATATATCTTTTATATATGTATTGATTATCTCATACTTATATTGATATATATCTTTATCTTTATCTTTATCTCTGTAGGTTCTTGGTGATAGCTTCAAGGTGTTTTATTTTTTACACACCAATTCTCCAGTTCAATTTATCATTTGCGGTTCCATTCAAGTTGCCATCGACAGCTTTATCGTATTTGAATTCATCCTGTTCTCGGCAAAGGTCAAGAAATGGCTCGGTATTTCCCGTCCATTATTAATCGATGGTCAAGTTGGAGACGAAGCTTCTGAACCTCTCCTTGGATAATGGTTAATCATCCTGCTAATCTTAATCTTAATCTTAATCTTAATGCTATTACCAATACCAATCAATATTAATGAAACATAGCAGTGATAATAAAATTACACATAGATTTCTTTCTTTCTTTTTTATAATAATCAAATTAACTTGTACATGTTCTGAACTGGATTGTTTTCATATAGTTTAAAAAGATTTCTAAATCAAGTTCAATTGAATTATATATATATACACACAAAAGTATCTATATCTATATATTTTAAATAATAAATAATAATAATAAAATCAAAGGATTGTTTAATGACTGAAAATAAGTAAATACCTCTTGGTGTCATTACCTAAGATCTCAAGGAAATGCTCTTCACTACGTGTTCAAATTCTACCATCTTCTTATATCAGTCATCTCAGGCTTACTATCACTCCCTTTTTATCTTTCTGCTTGGTTTCAAGTTGTTTTAATGAGGAGTTGCTTTACAGCTATTTTCTCTCTTCAATTGAGCCATTCTAACTCAACAGTGTCATACATTTTGTTGGAAGTTCCTCAAATTTTCCTAGAATCAGACACCCAGATATCATACGACTTTAAGTAATATTTATCTAGTACTAGTACTCAAAGAGCTATATGTATATACAAGCGCAATAAATAACTTTCTATACGACTTTAACTACCCTTTACCAAGATTATCAGCCTTGTCGTATTAGTGATTAACCTATTAATTGGCTTGGAATTGAGAGACAATTGTTATGATAATGAGGTAGAAAAAATGGCCATTATGCCCTTGTTAACATACATTATTATGAATAATTGGGTAACAAAATATTTATATATATATATTGTGTTTTGTTTTGTTTCCAAGGTTCTTACTGCTATAAAAGAGGATTTACGTTATGATTTACTTGAATTTGAGCTTATTCTATTAAAGCAAGCATATTCAAAGAACAACTTAGTAGGTTTGCCGCCTCAACAATGCGCTTAAGAAAACATATACGTAAATCTTGTCGCAAGTAAGAGTTTGCAGAGGTATTGGGAGCATCTTACATTATGTGTCCAAATTGTAGAGGAAGTTTAACACACGAGTTTACATTTTTTGATAATCGTATCCTGATCCTTTAGGACAGATACTCTGGGCAAGCAGATGTGTAGAGATCTGAATACTTTTTTTACTTGATCAAGCTTATTCTCGGTAGTCCGCTCTTTACATTCTTTCTTTGGCTTTAATGTTATGCCATACAACCTTTTCGCAGTTGATTACTTGACTTTTTGAAACAGAGAAGTGTGACTTTTGAAGATTAACTTCTTTCTACTAGTTATGAGAGTGTCTTTGAGAGTGATCAAGATCATACTTTATTGTATATAAGAGTCCAGTATGTGAAATAGAAGAAAGTAAAGTAGAAACCCCAAGGCAAATAATCATATTTATACTAAACTTTTTGATATGCTAATATAATAATTGATACCATGTACCATATAATAATCTTTTGCAAAGAGCAAATTTATATCTCTAGTTGAGATTATAATACACGTTAGCCAAGAGCCGCTTTATATAATTTATGCTATAAATCTTAAGAGAAATATCAGGTAGATATGTCTTTACTTATCCAGAGTATAAGGCCCAGTTTTAAAGGGGTAATGAAACATCAGGGTTTAGAATATTTTCGCAAAATTTGTAATTCACTTGGCTTACACCTACGTTGATGGTTTGACGGATTAGCTAGCAGGTTATCTAATAAAGAGAAGACGCTTTAACGATAGATTTTTATTTTATTTTATTTTATTTGAAGTTTGGTATTGTTTTCTAATGCTATACATGCTCTAGCAGCCAATAGAGTCGCTTAACAAGATATGCAAGTGCTCTACTCACAAAAAGAAAAGTAATTGAACTAAAAAGTTTACTTTTTTTGCACTCATGTAAAGTATATAATTTACGTATGAGAAATTGGTCAATCTTTTTTTTTTGCAGTGGTAGTTTTACACTTTTTTCTTTCTATTTGAGAAAATATTTATCACAGTATCCGCCTAAATATGAGAGGGAAGAGAAAAACATGCAAAAAAGAAAAGACAAATGACATGAAAGTTAAGAATAAGTAACTAGGTACTGAAGACTCTTAAATTGGGAACGAATTTCAGCAGGGATAAGAACTGCAAAGAGATATTGCCTTTAGAAACCTTGGCCATCAATTTATTGATTTTGAATACACAACGATACCAGACAAAGTCTGTCTTCATATGCATGATTTTGGGCGGACACAGATGGTAGAAGCTGACGGGGAACAGTGGAGATTTTTGACATAAGGCCCAGGCCCGCACATGCGTTCAATATTTTGAGATTACTTGTTTACACTTCTATTGGTAAGATTGGAACAAACTCCACAGGCAAAAATTGCTAAAAGACTACCTGCTTAAAATTGTTACATTTTTCGCCTTTTCCTTAGGCCTCTAACTCCACGTTTTTCATAGAGAACGCCAAAAATGGGTGAAAGTCGCAGTGAGTCAAGCCAAGTGACTTGAGAGGCGAAGTATTTTTTTTAAGATATAAAGAAGAAAGAGAATAATGATCGGTGTAACTTTTATGAATCAATGTTAACGAAATTGTTTTCTAGCCAAAAAGAAAAGGACTGCCGAGAAAATGAATGACAATTGGGTGTCTAATTTCTGCACAGCCTGGTACTTTCTATAACCATAATGGAGGTTTTGAGAAGGCTAATGATTGAACCACAGAAGATTCAGATTATCATGCTGCCCTTTTCGTTACTTCGTCGTCCATAGGACTATATGCTTTTTTGCAGATATCAGATTAATTTTTTTTGTCTGATAGTTCGGGTACGATCCTCGTTATCTCCCACTGTGAATCTCTTTTTAACAAAATCAAGACAGTAAAAAAATGTAATAATAAAACAACAGCCAACCGTATTATTATTATAGACAAGCTTAATGGCACACTGTGAGTTGGATATATAGTCGAAGTATAAGTTCAGCGACAAGAAAATGAATATCTGTAGAAGGACAATTTTAGTAAAGAACAAATTAAAGAGATCTAGTTAAATACTTTGGGTCATTTTTACAGACACACCACCGCCACTTCAAAGTTGATTTGAATGAGACACCACACAAATCTGGAACAGCAAAAATATGGACGGAATTTTTATTTGTCTGCCAAATTAAGGGGACACTTTTGTCCAATTTACACTGTTTTCCAGTTTTCCAATTTTCCAGATTTAGGACAATATTTTTGAATGAGCTATACCAAAACCAAACCCCGTCGTGCCATAGTGAACTGAATGAACCACTTGACAAATCCCGAGAGCAAAAAATTTGGGACAAAGTGTGAATTTGCCCATCAAATTAAGTGTACACTTTTGACCAATTTACTATGTTATCGGGATATCGGGCTATCGTGATTCAGGATTATATTTTTGAATGAATGCCTCATTAGAAAATACACCTTGTCTACCTTACCAAGGAACACAAGTATAATAAGACAGCTCTCAAGTGTAATATAGTAGTACCAAAAACATTATTAATAATATTTTTTAAAGACAAATGTAAGATCAAAATCAAAAAGAGACAAAAACATAAAGATAGTATCAAAGTCAAATGAGATCAAAATTTATTGTTCAAAGATTTTTAAAAGGGGAATATAAGTTAAGTTAAATTAAATTAAGTGTACTAAGATATTCCAGGCCATGCTAGTCCAGTCGAGTCCAGTCGGTTCCAGTCAAGTCCAGTCGGTTTTTTTTTGGTCCATTTGATTTTTCTTTTGATCTTTTTTTTTGTCCGTTTTTTTTTTCTTTTTTTTTTGTCCAGTCAATATAAGCTAAGAGTGATAGGAGGAGGAGGATTTTGGTGTTGAAAAATAATAAAGGGGATAATTTGGACTTTTTGTTTTTTTTCTTGTTTTTTTTTGATTCTTTTTTTGATTCTTTTTTTTTTTTTGTCCAGTCAATTTCACGGAATAGTAATAAGAGGATGATTTTGATATTGAAAAGAATAAAAAAGATAATTTGGACTTTTGTTTTTTTTTTTTTTGCTTTTTTTTTGTCCAAACACAGCACACATAATAAAGGGAATAATTTGGACTTTTTGATTTTTTTTTGTCCGAACACAGCACACATAGTAAAGGGGATAATTTGGACTTTTTGATTTTGATTTTTGATTTTGATTTTTTTTTTGATTTTTTTTTACTTCTTTTTTTTTGTCCAGTCAATTTCACATAATAGTAATAAGAGAAGGGGGTTTTGGTATTGCTCTTTTTGCTCTTTCTGTTTTTTTTTGAGCATTTTTTTTTTGTTTTTTGTTTTTGATCAAAGACTTCATTTGCTTTGTATGTATATATGTAAAAAGGGATTTCATACCTTGTCCTGATCCAGAGTCTTGTTCCAGTTCGCAGCTTTGCTTCAATCCAGGTCCAGGTTCCAATGCAGTGTTCTTCCGGTTTGTTCATCTTTTTTTTTTTTTTTGCTTTTTTTTTTTGCTTTTTTTGTTTGCTTTTTTTGTTTTTTTTTTTTGCTTTTTTTTTGCTTTTTTTGTTTTGGTTTTTTTTTTGCTTTTTTTTTTTTTTTTTTTTTTTTGAAAAAAAGGAGGGCTTAAAATATGCCTGGGTAATTTTTGGACAGGACTTAATATAGGCCTCAGGGTCGGATTTCTTTTGATCCTTTTGGAGGGGAGGACTTAATGGGCCTGAACATTTCTGAAAGGTTTTGGTCTACCCCCCGGTTTTTGGATTTGATCCTTTAGGAGG